AAATCAACAAATTAACGCTAGATAAAGACAGATGAGAAAGTGAAGAAAGAGAGGAGAGGGAGAGGGAAGAAAGGAAAAACAAAGACGAAGAAGGAGTGCAGGAAGGAAAGAAATGCAGAGGATAAAAATGAAAGAAAGAAAGGAAGAAGAGAGTGAGGGTGATGAAAGGAAGAAGTAGGGAAGGAACAGAAGAGAGAGCAGGAAGGAAGAAATGCAAAGAAAACGAAAAATAATGAACAATACAAAGAAAAATAAGGAAAGAACAAATAAACAAATAAATGAACAAAAGAAATTAGGAAAGAAATGCAAAGAAGGAAAGAAAGAACAAATAAATAAAAGAAAGGAGAGAAAATGAAAGATGAGAGAGGAGAAAAAAAGAAAGTATAAGAGAAAGATTTCCTCAACAAATTAACAAATAAACGATAAAGAAAGAAGAGAGAGAGAGAGAGAGAGAGAGAGAGAGAGAGAGAGAGAGAGAGAGAGACAGAGAGAGACAGAGAGAGACAGAGAGCAGAGAGAGACAGAGAGAGACAGAGAGAGAGAGACAGAGGAGACAGAGAGAGACAGAGAGAGAGAGAGAGACAGAGAGAGAGAGAGAGAGAGAGAGAGAGACAGAGAGAGAGAGGGTGAAGGAAGGAAAGAAATGCAGATGCAAAGGAAGAAGGGACGACTGGGAAAACAGAATTTATAAAAATCGTTTCTTTCTACAGGCCAACTTGTACCTCTGCGTTGGATCTACGCCGACACGAACCTCCCCAACATTATATCTACAGGTTGCAGCTCGTCCTTCTTCTTCTGCCTCAACGCTTCGAGGGTCGTTCACACCGCCTCCTCCGACGCCGTCTCTCCTTTCTGTGTTTTAGTAATTTCACTAAAAGTAACTGCTGTTCTACATCGATCAGCTCTGCTTCAGTCGCCCCACACCAACGAAGAAGAAACCCACCTCATGTATAATATAAATATAAACCGGCCTTCAGGTTCTTGATGAAACATCTAAACGTTTAGCAGATTTGAACCTTTACGGTGAGGGGATTTGTTTTCCACGCACCTGTCCTCCTCCGTTGACCTTGTTGGTGAGTTTGACCTTGTTGAAGGTCACGGCCGCCTTCATCCAGTGAGCCCCGAAGTTTGGCGAGTCCGGGTGGATGTAGATGCCGCCGTGGCCCCGCCCCTCGCCGCGGCCCTCCGCCCGGCCGGCCGCCACCCACTCCCCGTTCACGAACTTCCAGCGGCAGCCGTCGGCCGGCACGAAGTCCAGCAGGAAGGAGTACATGGAGCTGGGGTCCAGACCGGACACGCTGACCTTCAGGACCGGGAACATCCGGCTGCACACACACATCTACATTTTAATTTATTCCAACACGTTTAATCCTGAAAGGAGAGAAATGTTCTACTCAAAGTTTACACCTTCGTTTCATATCTGCTGCATTCTGCTACTGTGGGCAATGTTGCAAATCCATAATTAGAATTGATTTATAGTAATATTTGGATTTGCAGGTTGTTTTTAAAACAATATGACAGTTAATTCACTTCATCGGCCAAAATCTGATTTCTTATCTGGTTATTTTAGCCACTAAACGTCTATAAAACACTTTTTATTACTATTATAAATCAATACCGTGACATAAAATGATCAATTAGATGACAGGTTTAATCTGTATTAACGCATTTATCCTCCATTTTTCAGACATTAAACTTTTTCAGGGTTTCCTCTCATTTTTTTTTACAGTAATAAACACAATAAACATCTTTTGCACATTCCTGCACAAAGTCATATTATATTATTTTATAGGCTTCTTGTTGCTTTCATCTCCCTTTAAATGTTCTACTTAGTGTGTTTCCTGTTTAACTGTCCCAGCGTCTCTTCTTCTACTGCTCATCGGTGGATTTCTGCACCGTGCGCTACATCAGGACTGAGTGAGTTTGAGCCATTCAACTCAATACAACTTTATTTACACATGTAAACTCAAACCAGAAAACACAACGTCGCAAAGAAGACGGAGGAATAACACTCACAAAAATAAAGACGCTTAAAACTACATGATACATTCATAATTAAATATAAATAAGCAAATTCAATAATTAAGAAGTATTTGTCGGTTGTGGACAGCGGTGCACAAAGTATCCAGATCCTTTACTTCAGTAAAAGTACTAATACCACACGGTAAAAATACTCTGTTACAAGTAAAAGTCCTGCATTGATAATGTTACTGCAGTAAAAGTATGTGAGTATAGTCAGTTAAATGTACTGAAGCAGTATTAAAGTAAACTGTGTACTATTATTAATTAGATAATTACTCCTCCTGCTTTAATGTAAGCAGGTTTTACTGCTGTAGTAGTTTGTTGGACTGCAGCTAAATGATTATTTTAATTATGGATTCATCTGCTGATTCTTTCTTTCTCCATTAATCAGTTGATCGGTTTGTAAAAAGTCTGAAAATGCCGGCCGACAGTCCAAACCGCAAAGTCACTCAGTTTTTAGCGACGCTGAAACTACGAAATGTTCTTGCATGAAAAATGAAAACACATTTGTGTGATAACTTAGGTTCAAATTGCATATTTAATATTTTATAACACCTTATATTTTAAAAGCTCTTCATGTGTTTGGTGTGTAAATCTAAAGCTGTCAGACAGATGTAGTAAAAAGTAGAATATTTCCCTCAGAGATGTGGTTCAGGAGAGGTACAAAGTGGCATGAAATTGAAATATAAATTGAATTACAAGTACTTTCTATCACTGCCTTATGTTAACTTTTAATGCGTGAATATCTACACCAGACCAACAGCCTGTTCTCATCAGTAATAGCAGCTGAAGTGGCGTTCTGCAGGTGTGAATGGAGTGTTTTCCCACCGCAGGGCGCGACCGGTCAACACGCCTCGGCAGAACAAACACACACACGGGCGGCGTTAACGGCTGCTATCGAGACTAATGAATAACCCCGGTTAGCAGGATCACTGATCAGGAGTCGGCTTCAAACACGAGCGACAGCAAAGCCGACTCACTGTCCTGATATCCCTGGAAAATATTCCAACAACCTAAACATGATATTCATGAACAACTCCTCTGCATTAGGAAATTAATTTCACTCAAATAACTTGTATCATCATAACACTCCTGACAACTAAAGCGTGATTTGTTTCAAGCACTGAGTGAAAATTCTCCATCACACCCACACACCATCAACGCTACGGACAAACCACCAACCAAACTCTGTGCAAATATTAGCGGTATTTAAAAAAACTTTTAATGTAATTTTTTAACTAAAAAAATCTTATCTTCATTTAATAACAGCTGGGATGTTGTTTTAAAGCCTTGCCAGGGGAGTAATTCTGCTGAAGACTAAATGTGAAGATGGTTTATCTCAGTGCTCAGTTAAAGACAGCTTTTCGTGTGAAAATAATTTGTCTACACAACCAGAGTTTTCAGGTGGTTTAAGGAGAGACGTCTGTTCACAGTGAAACACCTGAGTGTTTAGTTAAATTTAATATTCTTCTTTATCGCAATAGATAGTTTTTCCCGAAACATGGAAGCACCAAGCAGATGTTTTAAGATTTATAAACTCTGGAGGTTTTGGAAAAGCTCCCTTTCTAAATGAGAAAAATGCAGTTTAAGTCTGGACTGATGGCTGAAACTCAGAGGAAAATATGTTTCCATTTTACATTTAGCTGACGCTTTTATCCAAAGTGACTTACAATTGCTATATATGTCACAGGTCGCAGGCCTCTGGAGCAGCTAGGGGTTAAATGTCTTGCTCAGTGGGACACATTGGTGGATGAGATGGGGGATTGAACGCAGGTCTCTCACGCCAAAGGCATGTGTGTTATCCACTGTCCCATCACCACCCCTAACAGAATATGTGCTGTTAAACAGAGCTGTGAAGGTCTGGTGAGGTCCAGTCAGAGGGGTTTCGCCGTAGGGTCACACCTTAAAGCACCTGCATCTCCACGCTCCACCCACACAGGTGTTCTTACTTTCATCCACTATTTTTGCATCACACATTCATCATTCTTATTGGTTCAAGAAGTTGGGTGACTTCACATGATTCCACAATTATTACAAAAATCCAATTAGTCGTATTGGATCTGCAGGGCTTTTAAGAGTCGTTGAGGACAACTGTGTGGACTAACAACCTATAGGTGGACTAACAACCCACAGGTGGACTAACAACCTATAGGTGGATTAACAACCCCCAGGTGGATTTAAGACCCACAGGTGGACTAACAACCTATAGGTGGACTAACAACCTATAGGTGGACTAACAACCTATAGGTGGACTAACAACCCACAGGTGGATTAACAACCCCCAGGTGGATTTAAGACCCACAGGTGGACTAACGATCTATAGGTGGACTAACAACCTATAGGTGGACTAACAACCTATAGGTGGACTAACAACCCCCAGGTTGACTAACAACCTATAGGTGGATTAACAACCCCCAGGTGGACTTAAGACCCACAGGTGGACTAACGATCTATAGGTGAACTAACAACCAATAGGTGGACTAACAACCCCCAGGTTGACTAACAACCAATAGGTGGACTAACAACCAATAGGTGGACTAACAACCCCCAGGTTGACTAACAACCAATAGGTGGACTAACAACCTATAGGTGAACTAACAACCAATAGGTGGACTAAACACCCCCAGGTTGACTAACAACCAATAGGTGGACTAACAACCTATAGGTGAACTAACAACCAATAGGTGGACTAACAACCCCCAGGTGGACTAACAACCCCCAGGTGGACTAACAACCAATAGGTGGACTAACAACCTATAGGTGGACTAACAACCTATAGGTGGACTAACAACCAATAGGTGGACTAACAACCAATAGGTGGACTAACAACCCCCAGGTTGACTAACAACCCCCAGGTGGACTAACAACCCCCAGGTGGACTAACAACCCCCAGGTGGACTAACAACCAATAGGTGGACTAACAACCTATAGGTGGACTAACAACCCCCAGGTTGACTAACAACCTATAGGTGGACTAACAACCCCCAGGTGGACTAACAACCCCCAGGTGGACTAACAACCTATAGGTGTACTAACAACCCCCAGGCTGACTTACAACCTATAGGTAGACTAACAACCTATAGGTGGACTAACAACCCCCAGGTTGACTTACAACCCACAGGTGGACTAACAACCAATAGGTTTGACTTACAACCTATAGGTGGACTAACAACCCCCAGGTTGACTTACAACCTATAGGTGGACTAACAACCAATAGGTGGACTAACAACCAATAGGTAGACTTACAACCTATAGGTGGACTAACGTCAAACAAGTGGACTAACAAACGACAGGTACCTTAAGACATATAGGTGAAATAACAACCCCCAGGTGGACTAAGGACCTATAGGTGGACTTACGACCACCAGGTGGACTAACAACCCACAGGATAGCCGTTTCTGGTCTTAATGCTAAGCTAAGGCAGCTCTGCGTAGCTTCAAATTTAAAGGACAGATATGAGAGTGGTATTGATCTCCTTAATCTAACTCTGCCTAAAAGCTGAATGTCAAACTGTTTCTTTAACCAACAGCAACCTTTTAGTCGCCTCAACCACACCAACCCTTGACCACAGAGGAGGCAGACGATGCTCAGATGGGTTGTTTTGGACGACAATAAAAGAAGTGTTTAGGTTGGAGGACTTGTCACAGTGTCTCGATTACACGACACAAACACTCTCCGACACTGGTCCTAGTTACCGTCCGTTCTTGGTGACGATCATCTCGTTGGTGATGTGCTGAAACTTCCTCCACAACTCGCCGTCCTCCAGCGTCACCCTCAGCTCCCTCTCCGTCGGGTCCCCCTTCTCACGGCCGGCCTGTAGCTCGCTCTCCACCGCGCTCAGCAGCCGGGACATGCAGCGTTCAGCCGAGCCAGGGCTGCACGCCGATGTCCCACTGGTACGAACAGCGGCGGTGGTCCGGTCTGCTGAAGACGCAGAACCAGAATCCCCGTCCTCCTGTAGCCCCTCCACCTTCATCTGGACACACAAAGACACATTTACTGATGGATACCAACATTCAGACACTGAGGAACTAGTTGGTTAATGAAGGCGAGATATTTGAGCGTTCTAGAGTCTTCATATGATCAACATTGTTGTTGATCTGCCTTGTGGTCGACCAATACCGGTTTTTCGATGGCCGATGCCGATATATAGAGCAGGGTGGTTGATGACTGATATATAATGCCGATATCATAACAAAGAAAAGTAATGTGTAATCCCATTATTCCTGCAGAGTACAATCTAATCTGCGTGTTATCTCAGCAGTAACATGCTGTTTCAGATGGAAGCTTTATTAATGAATGAAACTGAAACATACTTTGGGTTCTGCTGTAGATTTCAGAGCGTGGCTGGTGTTTAAGGGTGTACTCACACTAGGCGATCCGTTCCGTGCCCGATCACGTTTAACCCCCAATGTCCGTTTGACCACTGTGATCGCTCCCAGGCCCTTTTGAAGAGGTGGGCCTGGGCACGGTACAAGGCAACCAGGCCTAGAGTGAGTACGCCGGGGCCTAGAGTGAGTACGCCCGGGCCTAGAGTGAGTACGCCTGGGCCTAGAGTGAGTACGCCCTAAGAGAGAGTGGGGTACAGTCAGACGTCGTTTAGCTGCATTCTTCTCTACAGTATATATATTTAACACTAGCAAGTAATGCTGTTAGATTAGAGCTGCTGTCATTTAGATGAGAGGTGTTAACATTTAGAGAAGACGATGGTGACATCTGGGGAGCACCGACACACAGCAGCTCACTGACGAGGCTGCCACCAGACAGTTTGTGTTGCTCGGCCTTGTGAGTGCAGGTATCGGGCGACGCCAGATATCTTAAAATGACAGATATTGGTCCGATTAATCACTCGAGTAATTTGCAAGGGGATGTTTTTCCAGATTTAAAATTGGTCTAAAACAACGACGAACAAAGGGACACCCGACTGATTCCACTTAATATTGATGTCTTGATAAACTCTATTATTCCCCAAAATTTCAGCTCAATTTGAGTCTAAAACCAGGGTCGCCTGAATGCAACTGATTCCATAAAAGAAGGTTGAATTTTCACTTTGTGGAACTTTCGAACAAACGTCTTATTGATACACTCTGTCCTAACAGGGCGACTATAAACTACATGAAGCCTCGAATAGGTTGTTGCTTCAGTGTTAATTGTCGTAATCAAGAGGTGGAAGCTTGGCCAGGTAGCAAGACACACCGACGTCCTCGACTAAGACTGAATTCATTCAAGATGAGCTGTTTTTTCAAATTCAGTCAGACAATTGATTTCAGACAGCACTGCAAGTTTCAATATATATTCTCCCCAAAATTCAGCCTGACGTTTTTCCTTCTTTGCAAACTTTGGGATTTCCATCATTTCCATCTCGTATCTGAGGGTTTGACCGAAGCTCGGCCACAGCGTGAGCCTGTAGATGTGGAGTCACGCTCGGTCTTAAGAGGTTTGGTTTAAAAGAAGGTGCTCAGATCTTGTTGTTTCACAGTCTGGATTTTAACAGTTAATGGAACCTTTAACTGTGCAAACAATCAAAATAAATGCTCATTCGGATTAAAGGTCCCGTCGACACGTACTTCAAAATAAACTAGATCAGTTACCAGAAGACAAATCTTCTTTAACACAGCTTTAAAATATCTTAAATAATTTTTTCAATTAATCTGAACATTCAAATGTATGAGGTTCAATTTCCTTCATTTGCAAGCTTTCATTTGCAACACACAGACACTTATTCTGCTCTCTAAATAACTGCAGCTCTCTTCTACCAGATAGTCTGCTGTTTGTATTTAAACACATTTGACTGAACATTAGAACAATAAATTTAATTTGTGACTGGATCTACAGGAGAAATACTCACTCCTTTATTAGCTGCTTTACAGTGTGGTGACAGAGCTGTTTTTACTTTATCTTTACTTTCCTAAGCAACATTTCAACACTAACAGAAATTCTTTTATTGGGACGAGTGTTGTGTTTTCTGTTTTATTTTTCAACAGACTTCGTGATGATTAAAATTCAAACTAAATGTAAATTTTATGTCTTTTTAAGGCAGTGTGATGATGCCATTTAAATACATGACCTGAGTCTTTTGTTTACGCTTCTCCTGTGAATGTGCGTCTACAGCAACATACAATAGAGTCAAATTCCTAGTTTATGTATACATGGCTGACCATTAAAGCTGATTCTGATTTATAAATATATGAATATGAACGTGAGTGTGTGTGGAAGTCTGCAACACAGAAAACTAAAGTTCGGTTATTTTAAATTCACTTGCTAGCACAGCACAAGGTTTACTTCACTACAGTTGCAGAATATATTAAAACACATTTAAAATAATTTAAAGATTTTGTTTTATTAAGTTTAAGAATTTTGGCAATATTATTGAATTATAAAACTAGTGAAAATTGGGCTTAAAATAGGGACGTACACAAGTTTAGACGTCACTTTACTTTAAATCTTTTTAGAATATTTATAACTATAGTTATTTTGGGACAAAACAACTAAAATCAGGACACTTTTAAATTTCACTTCTTCTACTTTATGGGATGCATTTATAAATGTATTATACTGATAATCTGTTGTTGATTCTAATGAAATAATTACTTAATTGTGATTCTCCTGGAGGTGGGGGGGGGGGGGGGGGGGGATTTCATTTCTGTGGATGCATTCAAAGCAAACGTTGAATTTATGGTCAAAAACACGGAGAGAGGTAATCAAGTGATTATTTTAAATAAATAAATCCAACACGTTTAAATTAGCATGTACTATGGATACATTTATCTATAATTATTTTATTTATAATAAATAATATATAATTAATATTATAGTAAATAATCATTAAAGCTCCTTCAGTGAATAATAAATAAAAGTGAAAAAGAGATAAAAGTTGACTTACCTGTGACGTCCAACACTGCTGAGAAGGTGAAATAATCCAAAGACTAAACGTGACTTGCTGAAATTTAGTGTTAATTACAATAACTGTTTAAATGAACAACAACAATAATAATAATACTAGTGAATTAAGAGTTGTCAGATTTTTGGTTTGTCAGCTGCTCAGCCTCCAACTGAACCAGACACAGAGGATATCAGTCTGTCTATACCTCGCTCTACCACTCTCTCTCTCTCCATCACACACACTAGCTCGCTCTACCCCTCTCTCTCTCTCTCCATCACACACACTAGCTCGCTCTACCACTCACTAATTTCACTGCAGCTTCATTGGCCTGTAATTAAGTCAGTCCAAGTAAAGTAAAAATGGAATCTACGATACAAAATGTACGACAGATAATTTAACATCTGCTAATTTAAACCGGTCGTCCTGCGGCTGATGAGAGGGAGGCGACGGTGCTTCAACCACAGCTTACAGGAAAGCACAGGTAGGTCAGTGGCTGATGGTGAGGGGCTGGTGGAGAGTCGGGCAGGTAAGCTCAGGTGGGGGGAAAGAGTCTGAGGCCCTCTGGTGGACAGGTGAAGAATAGCACTGAAGGGAGCTGGGAGAGACGGCGCTAAATTAAGATGTTGTTTTCTTCCCTCCGTCTACAGAACGACAGCATTTCTCTCAACTGAAAACTAAATCAACACATTTTAAAAACACAACCTTCTTGTTTTAGTGAGGAGCACATTTTGGAGCAAAAAAAGAAAAACTGAGTCACGAAAGAGGATAAATCTGAAAACATCCTCTAAAACGTCTCCAGAGACAAAACAAAGAGACCTTTTGCCTCCAGTTAAAGTGCGGACGCATCTGAAAACCTCCCGCGAGACTTTAGTTGTCTTTCAAAAGCCTCGCAATTTCATGTGAAGCAGGATGCCTGAGGTTGTCTTCGCATTTTTGTACAGTCAAGAAGAACAGAGCTTTTAATGAACGGCCTCCGGACCGGATTAACCAAAGAAGTCAGGACTCACAATTCAGCGGGAACAAGAAAAAAACATCTCAAATACAAGACGTAAAGAGTTTTTACAGAGTGGATGAATCTGAACCAAAACACTGACGAAAAACCTGAAAACACCAAACGTGCGTTTTAGTGCGAACGTGGAAATTGGGCGTTTTTGAAGCATTTAAAAACGTTGCAGACTGAACTGTGAAAAAGCATGTTTTAGTGCATACTTGGAAACTGAGATTTACTAAAAAATAAGTTTCCCCGAGTCCAGAAAAATGAAAACTGTGGATGAACAAACAAATACAACAAAAACAACCTTGTGTTTTTGAGTGAACGTGGAAAAAGCTGCGGGCAGAGCTGAAAACACGAGCCTCAGGTTTCAGCTGGACGAGGTAAACTGAGCTTTAGGGAAACCGTGACGTCAGCCTGTGTGGACGGTATGTGACAGTAAAAAGCACAGAAGAAGAGACTGTTCGGGTGTTTCAGTGCAGATTGAGTCGACCTGCAGGATGTTTTCACGCCTAAACAAACAAAACAAACAGCATATCTTGGACGCAGACAGATTAATTTGACTATCAATCATTTCTGGATCAAACACTGAAAGAAATGAGGCTCCTGGCGTTTTAAATGTCACATGACCGCTGAAGAAAAACACCATAAGCCGTTCAGATCAGCATGTAATGGAGAATAGGTCAAATCCAGCTGAGAACACCGGAGGCACAGAGAGCGCCCGCCGGCCGGCGGTCGCCACCCGATATCTGGCCTGAGGCCGCTGCTTTTAAAAAGGTGTGTGTGTGTTTTAATCAGCGGGCAGTGACGGGTGGAGATTACAGGCTTTAGAGACTTAGCAGGCGTAAAGAAAGGTGGCAGGTAAACCCGGTAACACACATGTGGAAGGACAACACTCAGATATTTAAGAAATGTCCAGATCTTAACTCTGATCTGAATCCGTCTTGGGTTTTTCGTGTAAATCAGAGCTGGACCTTTTCGACGCCAGGAGACAGAAACCCAGTCGCGCTGCTGCTAAAGGAAGTTCTGGCTTAATGACTTGAAATACACGGCTTCTTAAATCCAGACACGAATATTTATTAAAAGACTTGTAACAGATGAAATGAGGAAATGTGCAGACAGACACATGAAGCTCAGGCACGTTTCTGCTGGAATCATTTGGAGTCACATTAAAGGCACATCGGGGGCTTTTGTTTCCACGTGTATCCGGCGGGATTTCCTCCATGTCAGCAGCAGGCTGAGAGCGCGTTACAACGTTAACTTCCCAGTGTGAGACATTTGGGCCGCGTGGGCATTTTGTAAACCATGTCCCTCTGTGGCTGCAGTACGGAGGTGTTTAGAAGTGATGGAGGTTTGACTTTAAGTAACATTAAAACCACAGGCTGCTGGATCAATCGTCTTCGTTCGTTTTGGTCTGCAAAGATAATATAACCTGCGAAATGTCGGGAATGTAAGAAAAAATATAGATAAACACGGACAATCTTTTTTTTTTTTTTATCCTCCACGTATCTGAAACTAACCTCAGATCTTTTGAATCAAATGATACTTTTCTGTTTGAAGTGAATGAAATTAGAGAGGATTTCTTCATATCTTGTGACGCCACTGTAATCTTTTGTTTTATTCATTTACACCCCTGCTGAATGTGTCCGTCTCTAACTTCCCCTGATGCCGTCTACGCCTCCTGTAGAGCACTCTGAACTATCAACCCTCTTTACATCCGTTTATTCAGTGCTTGAACCGGTGCCAGTAGGTACTCACCCCAACCCGAAGGAGAAACTAGTATAAATAACATTTAACACTAAGTATGTATTATCTCGTACTAACATATCTTCCCACTAGAGGCTACAACGTTAATCCAGTTGGACAAAACAGCCGTTTAATTTTTGTGGGTTGTTTTCATTCATTAAATTATTGATTAAGCTGCTGGTCAGTCTCTGATTGGTTTGGAGTGGAGCTGCACAATAAAACAATCACAATGATTACCGCAATTTAATTTGTTTTCAATAACAATATAATTTAAAAAAATGTTGCGTTGTGTTTTTAATTTGTATTTTATGTTATTGCTAAAACTGTATGTATTTCTAATGTACTGTATTTATTTCAGCCCCATTTCCTTTTCCGTAAGTGGTTACCCCACTTGTCAGGCCGCCATTGTAAATAAGAATTTGTTCTTAATGGCTTGCCTGTAAAAAATAAAGAATAAAAAAAAATAAAAGTTCAATAAAGTTTTGATTTTATTCACTTGAATCACGAATTAGGACTTCATTTTTATTAAAATGTTTATTTTGTTGAGGAAAAAGGACTGAAAAAAGCTTTTACTTTTTTACTCGTGTATATTTCAATTCTGATAAAATAAAAGATTTTATCAGAATAGTTTTGAATGTTCTGCCTCATATTTGTGAAGTGATCCACTGACCGTAAAGCTTAAACCCCAGTTACCCATCTGGTTTCTTCAACGTTCACTCAGGAGCAAATATCTGCCTTTAAACGCCGTCACCCAGAAGACTTTGAGCTTTAAACACTTAACTTCTGCACCAATTTATGTAGGAGATGTCTTTATTTATATGAAGGGAAACAGAATTTAGGTGGCGGGAGACAATTCAAAATAGAAAAACAGAATCTAATTCAGTAATCAGCTTTTGGACCGTTTGTTTCTTCTGTATTTCAGTCGCTTTGCAGGTTTTCTTATCGTTTCATTTGTTATTCCACATTGCTGACGTCCTGTTCCCAGCGTCCCCAGCGTCCCCAGCGTGAAGGACGCCTATCTGTCAATACTTTTAAATGTCCCGCCCCATCCAGGCTGTGATTGGTGACACTGCCTGAGAGGCGCCGAGCTTCTCTTCTGCCTCATCAACAGAACAAAGGCTGACAGGAGACTGCAGCCCGTCTTTCTCTACATGAAGCTTTTACAATCATTGTTTCTTCATTTGGTTAAAATTCAAACTAAAGCTACTTTAAAGCACCGCTGTGTATTTGCTTCCCTTAAAAGAGCCCGCCACAGATTTAGCATCACGCTGCTGGACTCGATGTAGCAGAACCAGAGATCCCGGGTGACTTCCTGTCCTCTAAACGGGACGCTCCCTCCAGCGCTGAATTCCTTTGATTACAGTGTTGTTATTTTAGTTCATCTCCGTACATGTTAAGGCTTTAGGTGCTGCGCAGCTCGGGCACCTGCATCAACTGTTTGCTCATCTTGACAATAGACTTAGTTTTTCACGCTTAAGATTTGTTCCTTATGCGACTGATTGATTTCGAGTCTTTTTTTATCATTTATTTTAATTTTTGTTTGATGTATTTGGAGGACAGATCGCCACGGCAGCCGATTACAGATCTGCGACTGTGTCAGGGCGTCCAGAGCGACCGTGTTTCAAGTGTTCAGTCAAGCACGTGTATATTCTGTGAATATAAACGATATGGAGGCACAGTTGGTGCTCGTTTCCACAGGTAGTTTGTAGTATGACACGAGCAGAATATTCCCCTGATGTATTGCTGGTATTAGTGTAGTAGCAGTTATTTAGAAGGTCTGCCTCGTATGGAGGTGCTTTAAGTTGACAGCGTGTTTGTTGCGACTTGATAACAGCCGCCGGTGTGACACCAGATCACGTGACGTTCGCAGCTTCCTGCGCTGTGCTTTGAAATGTGCCCGTAACCGTATTTTAAGGTTAAAAGTTATAATTAAAGAAATGTTGCTTATGAAATGTAGCTGCATTAAAATATCACAAATATAAATATTAGATCCGTGCAGGAAGGCCTCGGCCCCGTCCGGGTATCAGTCCAGGTGGAACAGACAGGAAGTCCTGCTAACAGCTAAAAGCAGCTACGACAACACAAACTGTACATGTAGAGTTAACTGGTCGTCATGGAAACCAGTAAGTGGTTTTGAAGGCACTCGAGTTTCACAGGTTTCGTGGTTTGAAGTGTTTAAGGCCTCGGTCAGTTCCCCCAGGAGCGGCTGCTCGCTGCTGACTGGACACACGCCTCACAGTGTCCTGCGTCCTGATTGGTCAGACAGGCTGTCACTCCAGAGGGCCGCCACGTCTAGACGCACATCGAAAAGAGTTTGATGACGGCGTCCCTGAAAGACAGAGAGGAAATGTCTCTGAAAGGTGCAGTGTGTGATATTCCTGCAGTATGAGATCCACAGCTGTGTTTTCAGTGGTGTATAAAGACCTCACATAACCATTTATATTAGAGCGAGACATTTCTATCGCGGGGCCTCTGACATGGACGTCGCCATGTTGCGGGGGAAAATTGACACAGCATTGATTAAATTACTGAATTATCTTATCAGCTCTGCTGTCTGAGATTTAGTTTAGAGAATTATAAGCGTTGTCAGGCCAACAACAGGACGGCAGCTCACCGGGCCGTCTTGTTTAATACTGAAAGGGGAGACGTCTCCAACCTCTCCAGGCTCTGAATAGACGCTTTGCTCCTTCTTCAGCCCCGCTCTGTACCGCAACTTTCATTTGCCAGCATCCAATCACAAGTGACAAGTACTAGCCAACCACGGCGCAGTAGGGCGGGACTTGTCGAAACTCTGGCAGGAAAAGAAACGCGATTCAAACGGGGCGAATTAGACGAGTAGAAAGCGCCGTGAGTGACAGGAGGCGGGGCTGTGCAGGCGCTGCAGCGGCGTGTATCGGCTCGCTGTCGGGAAGAAGAGAAGCGTATTTTCAGGATCCATACTGTGGAAAATTAAGATTAAAACCGTTTGAAATATGTTAGAGGTGGTTTTCTGCTCATGTTCAGGTTATTTAGAGTTTGTACCAGAGCAGGTTTACATGGTTATATGTTTGTCATACTGCACGTTGCTGCAGCTCCTCTTTTCAGCCTGTGTTGAAGGCTTCGTTTTAGCTATGGAGTGATACATCTTGTCTCTAAATGATCTTTGTTGGGAGTTGCACATGCTCAGTTCCTAGTTAAGCACTACTAGCCAATCAGAAGCAGAGAAGGGCGGGTCAGCGAGGAGCCGGTAAACAGCTCGGGTTCAGCCGTACATGTTGCCGACCAGCTTGGCAACATGGACTGGAGCGAGAGTTTCAGAGCGGTGAGTTATTAATCTGTATCCATAAAGTTTTAACTGAGCTCTGTCTCTACATCACAGGAACAACTTTCTGTCCACTGCCTGCCTGGAGGGTAGCTGGTGTTTGGAAGGGAGAGGAGAGCTGTGTGCTGCAGCTCGCTGTTTCTGAGGGCGTGTCGGAGTCGCCGCTTGGCGAGCGTTATATGAGGCTTAGCTTTCATCCCTGTGACGTCACAGGGATGAAAGGGAAGCAGCTGGACTACAAACGAGCTGTTTTCAGTTCAAAGCATAGTTTTCTGGGATGGGAACTCCCTTTGGGCTTTTTCACTTTGCAAACCTCAATAAAGGAGAGAGGAAAAGGCAAAAAGCAGAACACCACCTCTTTAATGTTTGTTTTTTCACATTTTAAGCTTTTTGTTGCTGCAATTCATAGCTTTCAGTCACATGACATGCGCGGTGACCTGGAGGGTAGAAACAACAGACCAACACCGCGGATCCCCTGTACAGGCGCCACAAAAGCAGTCACATTTTATTTGGACCACCTCTCAACTGAAGAAAAAGAAAGATATGAACACAAACTGCAAGTGTCGGGAGTATCCGGTCCATATAACGCTACAGCATCCGCTTAAAAACCGCCGGGACTCCGCCGCCGCTCCACTGCGGTAATGTTTACTGTTACCTTACACAGCCCAGGCTCGTCTCCTCGATTAATAAAGCCGAAAGCACAACAACCATCAAACAAACTCAAAGTAACAGCGTGTCACCTGCTTCCTGCTCTGTTTTCCTTGGAATGAGATGTCACGTGAAAACTATGAATACTACTTATGTAACTGAGTTTAAGTCTTTGACTATTTTTTTCTCTCATACGATACGTTTGTGTACCGTGTTGCTTCTTTACATCTATAACATCTGTACAGACAGACAGACGAGTGTGTGTGTTACCTGGCAAAGGGGATGTATGAAAGGCCGTACCTGTGATGAACAACAGCAGCAATCAGACAGAGTACAAGTATCAGATAAGTATATACAGTGTATATATATGTGTGTGTGTTTTATACCAGGTGAATGCCAGAAACTGGAGGATACAGAACAGCAGAGCGAGGCCGTTATTCTTCCACTGCGGAGAGACAGATTCATCGTTAATAATTAATCCAGAACCCGACAAAGTGACGTCCAGAATAAAACTAATAAAAGCTGTTTGTGTTTCTCACCCAGAAAGCAGCACACAGCGTCAACACCAGGCAAACCTGCAGAGACACACATGAAAATAATAAATAAACTCCTCAGATCAGCGTCACTAAGCTGAAACGGTCTGTTCTTAGAGGACTGTTACTACTGTTAGTACTTAAAGTATAAAGATGTGAATACGTCTTCCTCCGCTGAAAACATGTGAGTGTGTTCTCACCAGCATGATGATGGTGGCAAACGCTCTCTCTTTGGCGCACATGGTCTTCAGCTGCCTTAGCGGACCGATCAGGAACATGGTGCTGAAATTAAGAAGAGGTAAATCTGACGAGGTGAAATGTTCCCGTCAGATATTCAAATCTGCCCTTTCAGCTTTGCATGCTGGGATTTCAAACCCGTCTGTCTGGGAGGACGGATCCAGAAGCAGCCTGTGATACCGGCCTCCACCACCGGAGGACGATGTTTCCTTTTTAAAGCATTCTGCTCTGACTCCAGACTTTAAAAGAGTTTCCTGTCAGAGTCACATCTCTTGTTTTAACCAACAACACAGACGAAGCGGACTGAGATGTTGACATGAATCATTTTAAATAAAGAGATTCAGCAGGTGATTTCTTGGTGTGGGAGCTTTTTATACATTTGTTAAAACACATTTTTTAGTTTATTCCACAACAGATTCAGAGAAAAGCCATTTTTTGTAGACTATTAAGTCATGATGATGATTTTGTTAACTAGAACTTCAACGTGCTTGTTTTTCTCGATTCCTCCTGGATGGATTTGACAGAAGAATCGTTCACGTTACCTCATCATTCAACCATTTCCAGACGTTTTGGGTCACAGGCATGAAATTAAATGAAATGCTGTTTCTACATTTTCGCGTGTCTGCTGTGGTGAAACCACAACGCCGCGTCGCTTCACACGTTGCTGCCGCAAGGCATTGTGGGAAGGCAAAGAGGGTCCAGTGTCCCCTTCGCTTAAGGAGGTACGAAAGGAAGCACTGAAGCGCCGTTCCTCAGCGTTTAGAGGATTCGGCCGGCTCTTCTCACGGCGGCCACTCCGTTAGATTTAGAGTTCACTGCCCTTTAACTGACAAGTCCTCAGGAATTATGGGTAATGTAGTTCCCCAGTTAATACCAGGGTAAAGAGTGCAGGCGGTGTATTATTAACAGGATTAAATTAAATAATGACCCCGTTTGACCTGGTTCACCTTAATCTAGCTTTAGACCTCATTAGACCGGGTCAGACCAGTTTGGTTCTGGTTGGGTCGTGGTTGGTACCTGCCAAGAGCGCAGATGTTTCCCAAACTGTAGAGGACAGCGAACACAGCGAGACCCAAACCCGGGATCCACAGCATACAGGTGCCCTGAATCCAGAGGACAGACGGGCTGTTATCATGAACGGACACAGGTTTTTACTGTAAAAAAACACAACAACAAACAGACAGTAAAACGCAACACTGACTCACCAGGACGGAGCAGAGAACGCCCAAAACGAAGCAGATCAAGAAGCCCTTTATCCTCGTCCCCCAGGCCAGCGTCGACGCCTGATTGGCTCTCTGCGGAGGCGTCACCAACATCATGTTTATGGTCACAACACTGCGGGTTTGTCACGCTCTCGCAACACAAACCACTAAATCAAATATATGTCCTTTCTACCACAAAAACAACCTAGTCTGTCTCAATCTCTAAATAAATAAATAATACAGATATTTAAATGTGAATGGCTCCTTCAGGCTACAGGAAATGTTGACACTGTGGCTCACTGAGCCAAAGAAAACATTTTTACTACATGTTATACCCCAATACTGCAGTTTTTAAGACTGGATCCACATCGACTCTACCTGTGCTCATTTTCACTATTACTACTTTATTCACTACTGCTGCTGTCATGTCAGTCCTGTTAGTACTCCTTCATATTTAGATTTGTATTTTTCTTTCTATTGTTTTTTTCTATTCCTTAATATCTTGACATGCAAAGTGAGCAATTAGAAACAAAACATCACTAATCTGATTGTGTTTAATACATTTAAACACTCTTTACGAAGGCACGTTTGGATTTGCTGCTTATACTTTTATTTATTTCAATTTATTTATTTAACAAACCAAACGATCAGTCTTTTTAATGGAGGAAAGAAGCAGCACATTGATCCATAATGAAAAATGGAAAATGAGAGAATAAATACTACTTTCAGTACTTTTAACAGTACTTTTTCCTGATGATGTTTACAAACGTTTACTTCCGTGACAACGCCAGTGCAGTACTTTAGTAGTACTTTACAGTGCGGTATTAGTACTTTTACTTGCGGGAAGGACGTGAACACTTCCTCCATCACCTCACACTACATTAAAACAAGTATTTGATGAAGTTTGAGTCACCAGTTGAAGTTTTAAAGCTGATTAGCTTAATAAATAAAGAGCAGCTAACAAGCTACCACCAGCAGAGATGCTAGCTGCCGTTAACGTCACCTCCAGTATCCCGGGCCCGTCTCGGCTTCCTTCATCCTGAACGCCCAGCACGTTCTTTAATTTATCCATAAACTTCTTTTTCCCTGTTTAGCTCCGGACTAAACGCCGCTGAGTCTCCAGAAGCTGCTTCCAGGTGTGTCTGCTCTCAGGTGCGGCGGCCGGCTCGCTCTTTAACAGGTGCAGCGCTTCCGCCTGCAGTCCCGCCTCTGGCCACAACGCGAGCAGAGGGGGCGCTGTTTCCTCCTAAATTAACTTTTTACTGCAGAGCACTTGATGTTTGTTGTGATGACTTTTTCTATTTTTACATAAAATGTCATTGTTACTTAACACATAAATGAATGAAGTATGAATCTCCTGTGAGGTCACATGTTTATCTCAAGGTTTGAGAACATGTCTGTCTATGAATGCATTTGTTTACATTAATTATACAGAAATCTAAATCCGTCTAGTAAAGATCTCTCTGGGATGTTTGCTGCCACAAAGAGTTTTAAGCTGAAGCTGGATTATAGTTGTAGGCATGTTTTATAATACTGGGGGATTGGTGCAAGATGTCTTCTCAGTGTGTAACACCTTTTGCCTGATGAAGGTCTTGCATCAAAAAAACCCCATCTTATAAATATATTTATTGCGAGTTAAACAGTGTAAAGGTGAAACTTTTGTCCTCCACATTAACACCAGGGAGGAAAACTGCATTTTATTCAAGAACCAAAATACTGTCATGATTTTAAAGAAATGTGTCCCACAATATCTTCTTTTTATGCGACTGAGATGATTACAAAACACTTTTTACTAATTTTTACATCTATCTAAATCTGTAAGTATTCAGAGTAGGGCTGGGCGATGTGACCAAAAATGTTATCAAAATTAAAAATTTCATGTAATTCGATATGGATATTTATCAGGATAAATGTCAAATCATTGTTTATTTCAAGTTTAAAAGCAGATTTTTGAGTTAAAGTTGAAGAAATTAGATTTTAAACTTTTCTTTATGGTCAGAACCAACAGTTGATGCCAAACAATGAAACGTTTCACAAATATGCACGAGTAAAATTACATTAAATCTTTTTTCAGTCCCTTTTCCTCAACAAAATAAATATTTTATTTAAAATTGAAGAGCTAATTTATTTGTGACCTGATCCTGAGCTCCATCAGTCAGCTGTTCAATAAAGCTTTTGTTCCATTTTCTACTCTTCTATATTATCTTTATATATTTATATTTATATGGGTTTATGTTTATTGTTGTTGTGCACCTAGTCGTCAAAACAAATTTCTTGTATGTGTAAAAAGGACTCGGCAATAATTCGCAGCGGACATGTTTGATACCAACGTCTCACATTTACCTACAAAAATAACAGCCGTGAAGAAAATATCACACTATATAACATTTTACATTTAACTTTTTCACAATTTCACACACAAAAAAACCAAACAAACAAAAACAAAATTTGCATTTTAGGCTGCAACAGCCACAAAAAAATGGCCCTGTGAAATCCAGGAGGGACCGACTGAATGCAGTTTTCTCAAGAATCTGAATCCTTTTTCCTCCACTGGTTCAATCAAACTTTATTCAGACATCTCAACAACACTGCTTAAACTGTAAAAACAAAGTCAGTAAATTATTTGCTAACCACTTCTAGCTGCACACACACAGGTGAGGTTACTGTGGCTGTACGTTAGTGTGTTTTCACATTCAGAGAAAACAGATCAGGCTGTTTGTGTTGTTTAAATAAACTGTCTCTTTTATTCAGAGCATTGACTCTACTAACACTATGGAGACGTTGTAGTGACGGCGTCAAGTTTCAGTGTATTTTGATGATGTCACTGTTCGCTATGATGTCCTGCTGTTGGCATTTCAGGGATTTTGATGAGGTCACAGTGCGCTGCTGGAAGCTCTGGTGAAGTCGTATCCACAGCTGGAAGTTTTGCAGGGATCATGTTGGTGTCCAACGCAGTCTCGCTCGTCACAAATGGACGTTTGGTCAAGACCCCATTTTAACGCCCTGGCTACCCTTTTAGCGTAGTTTTTTCCACCGTTTAGGGCTCCGCGGTTAAGTTAGCAACAATACATACGCAACGTCAGAGACGCTTTATCGAGGAGACACGCCACTCAATCACAGCCTCAATACAACTCCATGGGGAAAGGCCCTAACGCCAAAGATGGCGGTTATCCCGCCCCTCCCGCTAGAAAGCCAAAGCGGGAAAATATTTCAGTCAATCGTGTGGTTCCGTCTGTTTTACTTCTCCTGCACATGCGTGGTAGAAGTAAAACCAGTCGGGAAAAACTCTTTTTAAACCTTATTTTGGGGCAAAGTCTTCAAACTTTCAGATTTGACTGCTGGTTCTGTTTTTATGTCCCGGTGAAAGTGCAGCTCTGGCTCTCTGCCCATTCATTCAGACAGGAGCCCGGTCTTGTTAGTCCGAAATAGCTGCCCGGAGGTGCTGCCAAGTTGGCGGCCGAGTGGCAGGACTTGCCTATAAGGACTTTGGCAACGTCCAGTTAGACTTTCAAAATAAACGTAGGTGTTAATTTCATGAAATATCATAATTCGGTTAAGTTTAGGCAGCAAAACTACTTGGTTGGGTTCAGAAAAGATTGTGGTTTGGCTTAAAAATAACAACTTAACTTACGTCAGTTAACTTACGAATGTTAAGTAACCTCAAAAAAACATTCAACGCTGACTTTTTGTGTCACACGGGAACGAACACCAGTGTCCAGGGTAAAAGTCCAGTTTCTGGGCCACAGTCCACCCCAACCAGCTCCTTACTCTGACTGTCCTGTTAAATATCCTACACCTACCTTTAGCTTTTTAAAGTGACGCTACAGGGCTTCCCTCAGTGCGTTGTGACGCTACAGGGCTTCCCAACGCAACGGTCTTGACCGCGCGTCCATATGTGACGACCTGGGGTGAGGACGGGTTCAGTCCAACGCTTTAGATTTGAGAAGACTTCGATGATGTCGCAGTAAACTGCCGCAGGTTTTAAGGAAGTTTGATGATGTCGCTCTCCCTTCCTGGTGGTTTCAGGGGACTTTGACCCTGGTGGAGGTCCAGTAGACGGGCTGAGGTACGGACACCTGAACGTGACACGTGGGACAGGACTGTTTCCTCCACAGCCACTCCTCTATACACTGCAGGGAGACGGAAACAAGGTCTGTTAGCATTTTTAGGTGAATATTGAATTTACAAAACAAACGGAGACATTGTGATGTTAGAACACTGTGATATGAATAAAAGCAAACTGTGAATAAAGCTTGTTTTTGGTTTTATTTCGACCCTGTCAGTGTCTGCGTTGGCGTATTGGTACCATCTACTGTTCCAATGCATCCACCTCACCTCAAGGTACAAACAGTACAAACAAAGACAGAAGATAAACCTGCACAGCATGTGTGCACAGATTACACAACTTTGTAACTGGGAAGGAAGCAGCGAAGAGCTACTGGTGTTACTGGTGATGCTACTCACGTTTACTTCTCAAAGCTACCTGAAAACATGCAGCACTGTGCACAAGAAAGGTACTTGTGATACTTGTGCTGACGTTACATTAAAATAGCAGTAAATGCTTTTCACCACAGCCTCCTCGTGCGTCAGGAGCACCTGCTTTGTTTTATTCACGGTGTGTGTTACCTCTTTGTGGAAGGTGTGTGTGCACTGCAGCTCTCTGGTGCCACCGGTTCCTTGATTCAAGTCGTTGTGACAGATCAGACACATACTGAAAGCATCGCCCTGCAACACAGACACAGTCACAAAAGTTATTTACTGCGGCCTTCTGATGTTGTTTATCACTTTCATTAGTTGTTATGTCTAAACTGAGCCCAATGTCTCTTAAAGGAAGGTCAGCAGTTTGGGAAATAAGCTTTGTTACTCATCAGCCAGGTATCTTATCTTGGCTGTTTCCACTCTCTTCTTTGTCGGTCTTTATGCTAAACTAACTCACTGCGAGACAAGTATAGACAAGAAGTCACCAAAATGTCCTTTTAAACTTTACACAACTCTAAAACTGTTCAAATCAGTCTTTTTACCCACCAATGATACGACGTTGCGTCTCCTGAACTGGCCCCGCCTCTCGTGCGCTGTGACCTCGGGGATTGTGGGTGCAAGAGAGGGTCTTCGCTCGGGGGCGGGGACGGGGACGGGGGTTGGGGCAACGACCTCCTGCGGCGTTGGCAGGAGGCGTCGGGAGGAGGTGCGGTGCAGCAGAACCCTCGCCGTCACCGGAGCCTGGGTGGACGAGTGGAGACGAGACAGCTGCATGGCCGACAGAGTAGCCTGGACACAAAGAGAGAGAGAAGGTTAACTGGTTCCACTGGTCACCACCTCCTTTTCTAAGTCCTGTAGAGAGATCTCCAGTGGTGTCAGTAAACTATAAATAAAATCAGTCTTAAGAGCGGTCACATTTTACATTTCAGCTGTTTGTAATATTCTCGATTATATTTTTGTCTGTATCCTTCCTCTAAGTTCTGATGTTTGCTTGTAACTAATCAGCCCACTGATCCCATCAACACTGGCAAAAATAAACAAGAGTCTAAAAGCCTCTTTAGCGGCCTTGAGCTGCCATGCTTCTCTCTAACACCCAACTGGACCAATGAGCTCTGAGACAATTGAGCTGCCCTCCTTAGAGCAGTATGCCTGTTTCTAAGCAGCTAAAAATGGATCCTGTCAAGACAGCAGGTAACAGGATATTTTCATCCTCACTGTTGTTCTCCAGCCTCAGGGTGTCTCTGATCAGGACCTGTGATCCCCCACAGCTAGCTGGAGAACTGGTCTGACCGCTCTGAAAATAACCAGTTTGCAGTAAATGTGCTGCCAAGTCAAGGTACACTGACCACGGCATGGCGGCGTTCACATGACTGGACGACACGTGACTGCAGAGCTGGTCGTGTGAGGGTTTTGCGCATTGATAATAAAGCAGTACAGCAAACTTTAACTGAGCACACATTTTTGTTTGCTTTTCAGGCCCCTGTATTATTTCAGAAAAGTTTCACAACTTGGATGTTAAAGATTATTAATATTTTTTGGCCATTCACACTTGAGAGTGACGGTATCACTAGAGGGGAGAGCGGGGATCGCAGCAAAGGGTTAGGACTTTTAGGACTAAAGTGCATTTATACTTCTGCCTAGAATCGACGGTGTAGCCTCTGCGTAGCCCCCTACCCTACGCCGTCACCTACGCCGTAGCCTGACGTGCAACTGTGATTGGTCGGCTGGGTAGCCTCACAATGCCTCCGAAATCATTAAATCAAGCTTAAGCCTGGGTATGCGCTCCACCAGGCAAGCTTCCCGGTCACCCACAACAATGCCAGTGTTTACAAGACAGAAGCTGGTAATGACTTCTACATGACACGAATGCTACATTTTGTTGGGAAACTGTCGTACGGTTGGTTAGGACGTGATAGACTACTCAACACAATGTTGTCCATCTTCACAGATTGTCAATTGACAGAGATTAGAAGTCATTTATTCCAACGGAGGGTGAATGACGGACTGTAATGGACTAGTAACAAACTACTGCCCTCAGTGGACCTGTTTGTTTACAGATCATGAATACTATGGAGTTTCTCAAAGTGTGCAGGAACAACAACAACACTTTGAAAGGTTTAGGTCAGAAACTGGTCCTTATTGTAACTGATATTTCACACAAACTCGATATAATGCTATTTTGATAATGAAATTAAACCGATCCTGATAAGCAGAGAAGGGTTTCATCCGCTACTGTAAGTCTTTCTGGGGTGTTTTTTGATTCAGCTGTAAAGGTTCTCCCTGAGATTGTACAACTTCGCAGTACAGACTCGAACTGGCGAGCTCGGGTACGGGAGGCGGACGCGCAAACGAGGAGGCTAAAACACACGGGCACTTGCATCGGTTGCCAGTGCATCTCTTAAGGTGTCGCGGAGTGAGGTCTACAGCCATCTGGCTTCTGTTACACAGTCCCATCTTTATCGCAGAACAAATTGCCCCTTAACACCTCTTCAAACTGGAGTCCTGTGTGGTAGCAAACTCCTCATTTCTTCCTTTGTTCAGCATCATTCTTCTATCCATTTTCCACCAGTTGCAGCAGACTAAGCAAGGTAGCATAAACGTCTTCCTCCTTGGCCACATCGTGCAGGTCTTGCTGGGGGATCCTGAGGTCTTCCACGGTCAGATGGGATATGTAATCCCTCCAGCCTGTTCTGGATCTCCCCTCTTCCCAGTGTCCTCAGATTCCTCCGCTGGGAAACATCCAAGAAGAGATCTGAGTCAGATGCCAGAACGAACTGTCTTCCTTCAAGGTGAAGGAACAGCGGTTTTGCCTTTAGGCTCAGCTCCCTCTTCACAACAACCGTCTGGTGCAGCGGTCGCACTACAGATGGCACACCAGTCCACCTCTCTTGCTCTATCTTACCCTCCCTCGTGAACGGGACCCCTTGATACCTGAACTCCACTTGAACCACGACATGTGGGGAACAATGTGTGTTGTTTCTTAAATGTAAGTCGCTTTGGATAAAAACTTCTGCCAAAGCAGTAAATGTTGTCCGTCACTGATCTTTTATGGGAATGAATGACTTCCAGTCTCTGTCGATAGGCACTGCACGACGATGTGCACGTGGCACTGACAGTTACCATACACAAACCATAAGAAGACTTTCAAACGGTAAGTCCCTGTTTATGCCATATGGGTGGGATTACCAGTGAGAGCTCATTCCTGACCTCGGACACGGGTCGTGCTTTAGGTCCGTTAGTTGCTGATCTGGAGCTTTTCATTGTACCAGACGATCTTCCTCAAGAGGTCACGTTTGCCCCAGTTGTCATGGGAATTTTTTTTTTTCAAGACTTCACATCTAAATGTCCTTAAAATGCCACTTTCAGACGCTCCAGAACAGCTACGAATGGACCTTGTGGGGAGACTATTTTGCAAGCTACCAGTTCCTGACTCATTCATGTCAACATCAGGTCATAGTTGCGACTAGGAACCAGAACAAAAGCCTGTCGTTTGAATGATCAAACTTTAATAGATGTGCTGTTTTGTTGATGCACAGTACTTTCAGGCCTTACCGGACACGGCAGCGACGCCCGGCGGCTGGTCCTCATTTGGACCGGTGGCTCTACGCTGCTTCTGCTCCCAGCTCTTCGCCCCTCTGACTCCCCTTCCTCCTCCTCTTCCTCTCCGATGTTCTCCTGCCGTTCCCCACCTCTGTACCGCTGCATCCAGGCGTTGAAGATCTTAGCATCTTCCTCCTCATCCACCTCCTCTTCCTCATCCTCATCCTCGTCCTCTGCTGTCAGAAGACTCGGGTCTTCTGCGTCCAAGAACACTTCAGCTTCTTCTCTGTCTGGGTCCATTGCTTCGATAAATTACAGCCTGGTTGTAAGTTAAATTAGTTAAGAGAGCACGAACGCTTAGTTTAAGCCAAGTTAGCAGAAGTTTGAGAGTTGGACAACAGGGACACGAGGAGGGATCGGTGTCGGATGGGTGAAGAAGCAACGGGTGGGAAAATAATCTGAGAAAAAGATCCACAAATCCAGTCCTGACAGTCGATCTCTTTTCTCTGTCCCGCTCCGATCCATCCAGATTTAAATTAAAATAAAGCCTGTCCTCCAAAACGGCCGCTCGTTCTTCCACACGTCCGCCGCTTCTTTCCTCCTGGTTGAGTTTTCTGGTTTCTTCTGCTTCCTTCTCGCCGCTTCTCTCTTGCTGTCGTGCTGCTCTCAGCTGAAACCTGTTAATCCGTTTACTGAGGCGCAGGAGGGGGATTACACCTGGCTTTCTGTATCTGTGTCAAACCAGGTGAGAGGTGAGAGAGAAGCCAGCCATTTCACTTTTAGGTAGGTTGTTTCTGTACACAGTAATTGATCTTCTAAATCGGGTAAACTATATGCAGCATAGTCTTTTAATATCCAACAGAAAATCCTACACTGCTCAAATTGTACAAATGTTTTTAGTGTTTTTAAAGATTATTTCTTGACACTATGCTTTTTCCATGTGTGGAAAATAAAGATTATCTTAAATATCTCTTAAAAAGAAGTATAAACCCTTTTGCCTTTTAGTTAAATGACATTATATTTGGTACAAACACCCAGATGCTTTATCTTGGAGAGTTTTCTATTGACAAATAGAACTGAAGCAGTTTTGTTTCAGCAGCTATTCCTATAATCAATTACTCATTTAACTGAAAAAAAAATCTAATCTGATTCCAGTTTCTTAAATTTGAGGATTTGCTGCTTTTCTTTGTCTTTTGTGTTAGTAAACAGAAATTTATTTTAGCTTGCACAAAACAAGTGATTGAAAACAAGGATTTTTAACATTATCTCTAACTTCTGATATGTTACAGACTGAATCAGAAAATAATAATGATATTAAGGAATAATTAAAGTATTTATAAATCGAATTGGGCGATACCTTTTTTATTTAAAAGAGGTATAAAACTTATCCTTTTGTGTATTTTATTCAATTTCATTCACCATTTCTTTTCTCCAAATAAATTATAGTTTATTTTCTTCACCTAATAAACCAATTTTAGCTTATTGCTAATATATTTAGAAACAGCCTGTCCACCAGAGAACAATGACAAGTTTATTATGATTTATGTTTGCAATAAAAAGGGAACCTTATTAAAACTGTTATGTGTTTATAAAACAGATATCAGCCTCATTAATCAGGTGTTCTGACGATTTATGCTGCCCTGTCGAAAAATGCAACCTCATGTGTTCCCATTTCCAGTCCCACAAAGGTTTAACTCTCACAGTATCATGACTTTTTTAAATTTATTATATTCTAACATCATTTCAGCGGCAGCATATTCTGATTCTGACTAATATCCCCTTTTAAATAATGGTTCAGAATCATCTTATATTGCACCATGTAAGGAGATGGGGAGCATGCTGAATTCTGCCATCTTTATTTATATCAGAGGTATTCTGATAGACTAATAAAGATTATATTTTGATATTTCTGACGAACAGCCAGGTTGCACAGATTTATGGACGTGGAAACAGACCGCGCTTGTGGATGGTGCGCATGCGCATAAATCGACAGAACTAATTTAAATTTAATTGATGTCAAATTGTTATAACAGACTTTATAATTTAAAAAAAACTTTGTCAAAATGTTGTCATGTTAATAAAGTTTGTTGCAACAGCTGACAGGAGCGTCTCCTCTCTAGTAAACAAATAATGACGTAATTAATTAAGCCCATTATTACCTGCACGAGAGGCTAAAGTTGGGCTCGCTCACCTGCACGCGCCCCCCGGACGTGTTCGGCGTTGTTAACGTCCGGTGTGACGCCGTTAGCTGGAGTGTAAACACGCCAGTTAGCGGTTAGCTGTCAGAGCTAACTGTTAGCCTGTGCTGCAACGGTGAAAAGTAAACAAGACTGTGGCAGCAGGATGGGTACGTGCTGACGTTTACTAATCAATTAAACGTTTATTGATCAGGACTAGTTTATACTTTGTTGAGCTGATTAATTAGCGAACGTTATTTAGCCCTACTCGTGTGGTTGTTCGTTGGACCGATACCTTCCAAACTCCATTCAAAAAACAGTCATTTATAGGATACTTTATCTTGTGGGAAAGGTAAACATTAAATTAAAAGTACTTTAGTAGCTATTATGAGTCGGTTATAGTTACAGTGTAATTCGGCTTATTTTCAACATACCAAGTGGCGTTTATTGTTGCTTAAAAAAGCAATTTAAAGCAATTTTAATGCTTCACGTCTGGTCCTTTTAGCCGACTAGCTAGGTTAGGTTAGCATGCTAGCGTTAATGTTACTGTATCTAGATGTCCCCAGTTTATGTCTCCTGTAAACCACACATCGTCTCTACAGTTAGAGTACTACGTCCAGAATTATATGCATCAATTCATCAATACGCAAATGTTAAAACGATACTGTAACTAAAACTGGGGCTGCTGTCAAATGTTTCACGAGTAACGACTGAAGCTGTGACTGCAAAAACACGGTTATTTAAGAAATAACTGTCTCACTATATACTGTACACTACGCCGAAATACAGACCGGGTTGTACTTATTTAGCAAATATCTTGAATGTCGTTATTAAAGTATTTTTACATCTCTAATAAGCAACGAACCCTTAAATTAAGGTATTTATTTATGGAGTGTGGCTGGAAATAGAAACAAGCCAAACTCCATGCAGAAATCTGTATTTCTGTGTCCAGGTCTGGAGAAGGAGCAGTTTCACTTATTAAGATGTTGACCTTATTATTGGTGGTAGTAGGCAGTTTAATGAAGTACTGATGAGTACGTGTGGCTAAAGAGTATTAATGTGTGTTTGCCATTAAGGTGTGGCAGAAGTGACACACCTCGATGAGCCATTACTGTATATAATAACACCTCTGGTTTACCTGCTAGGACAAGTCAAATTGTCCAGTGTGTGGAAGCTCTGTTAAATGAATAGGAATAATACTTTAATGTGTGTTTAGATGCATTTTTAAACTCCTTTTTGCTTCACATTAGAAGTGAAATGTGTTTTCTCAGAAAGACATTTGGACCGTCACGCACACGCTCATGATGATAAAATGTTTGATTTGTCACAATAGGTGCTATTAATAACATCAACAACGGCTCTGTTCAGGTGTGACGACATGATCAATAGCGGGACCCTGAGACTGATGTTATTAATAACACCTGTCTTCCTCCCCCTCCCTCCCCAGCCTCCGCTCCTCCCCCCCTCTCCTCCCTGCGCCTCCTCGTCCCTCCTCTCCGCCTGCTGACTGCGGCGATGTGGCAGGTCGCTCGCCGGAAAAGCGTGAAGCATTATGGGATGCTGGAGGACTTTGTTTGCCTGCTAACCGAGGCCGTCCCACAGCTGCTGACAGACAGGCAGAGGAGTCTGCTGCTGCTGGCGCTGAGAGCCAAGGTCTGTACCCAGACACCACTGTTAATGTGTAATAACAGCTTTATAAACTGCACACGAGGGACGTCCCCATCAAGGCTTTATGGCCCCGATGCTGATCAGAGTCCTTTTAATATCCAGTATCTCCTCGTGTGTTCTGCTCTGCAGCGAGTACTTTCGCATGTAGAAAAATGGCCTGGAAAGTTTAGTTGGAAATCTCAGCAACGACACAAAAGGGCTGCGTTCAGGATCAGACGGCGTGAAAAGGTGAGCGCGTTTTGAATGTGCAGGTTCCATTAAACCAAAAACACAACAAGAGCCAAAACCAGGACCCTGCGCAAGAACAAACTGAGCCAGAAAAAGAGGCCGGGCCGTCCTGAAGAACTGAACACACCTGGTCACAGAAACAGGTGTGACCGATAACACACCTGTTTCTGTCACACCTAAATGGAACAGAACCATTATTCTGATTATTAGAAACTCTGGCTGAGCTGAGTGAGAAACCTCTTTCAGGTGATTTACTGCACTTTAATACACTTTTCACAAACACAGCAGCGTCTGTGTTAGAACAGACGTTTTATCAGAGCCGGGAGAGACGCCTCACTTCTCCTCTGTCCTTTCTGCAGAGGTTTTTGTGACTTGTGTTGTTTCTGGCCTACGGGTGGAAGAGTCTTTGAGCAGGAAGTGTTTGTTTTTCAAACGCCGCAGGTTATTTATATTTGAGAGAAACGGCTGCTGAGCTCTGAGAGATCAGCTGCTTAAACGCACAAATAAAAACATGTTTACTCTGTTCTGGCTCCAGGTGACGCTCTGCGACCCGGATCCACAGGCCGTCCACGCCCACCTGGACAAAGTCCACAACGTCTCAGAGTCAACGGTGAGACGGGACTCTTACCCGAGTCTGTTTTATGCCACAGTAAACCGAACGTCTTCTTGATAATGAAAATAAGAGCTGATTGATGGAGGAGGGCTGAGCAGCGTGCAGTGCAGTTAACTCCAGGTCCTGGTGTGTTTCCTCAGCAGCCGGGCGGAGAGGTGGATCAGTGTCGTTCTGCTCTGTTGACTCTGACGGATAAACTGACCCAGAGGCCGGCGGACAGACGGCGCCTCCTGCAGGTCAGTGCTGCAACAACAGCGTTACTCGGCAGAGAGGAGGCTCCGGCTTCACTGCACTCCTTGTTTCCTCTGTTTGTTTCAGGACGTGTTCGACCAGAGTTTTGACTCGGCCCTCCAGTCTCTCATATCGGACTTCCTGTCCAGGATCGAGCAGCTGTTCCCGGTTCCCGACTTCAAACAGGTTGTCAGTGAATTATTCCCCCACGACATGAGTAGACTGCAGAATATAAGATGTGTGTAGAGTTTGTTTAGTGTTCAGCACCTACTAAGTAGTAGCGATGCACCGAAATTAAAAATCTTGGCCGAACCCCAAATACATTTATTATACGTTTATTTTGCCTTTTTTGCATAAATTCAATAGTGAAAATGAGCTTTTCCCTCCGTGTTTCTCACAGGATGTGGAGAGACTATGGTGGGGGGGGGTGTCCGGGGCCCGAGTGGGTCCGGTAAGTAAATTACATGTGTCCATTTACTTTTAATGGACACGTGTAATCGGCCGATTGATTTCGGTTGCTCAACATTTGGTGCATCCCCGCTAATTAGCAGCAAACACAATGCACATCCTCCCAGAAAGCAACAATACGTTCATAAAATAAACGCTCTGTAGTTTCAATGGGGTCACCACAGTGATCCAAACCACAACGACTTCTAAAGCTTCCGGCAGAACCGGTATGTTCCATTCAGAACCTTAAAGTGAACGTCCTTCGCTTTGGGAGCAAAAGGAAGTTTAAAGATATTTGAACTCCTGTAAGTAGCAGCTCCCGTTAACTTCTTCTTCTTCTTTGGTCCCCTACAAGTTTAATTTCCATGAGAGAAGCGAACGCAGTGTGAGCTGAGGGATCCCTCCCGTCAAAGGATCTGCATGAATGTGGAGAGAAGTTTTCGTTCTCCTTCAAGCCTCAAGCTCTTAGCAAACCTCTGAAGGGAACTTTGTGTCTCTCAGGCTGCCTCCTGGCTCGACGCTGCCCCCGGTGGTCTGGAGGATTGTCTGCAAGAGGCCGACAGCGAGGACCTGAGGGAGCTGCTGACCAATCAGAGCTGCTTATTGGGTCGCGCCACCACCGCGGGTATGACATCACAAACGAGCTCAGCCAAACAGGAAGTCACATTTTTTCGTCCATTAACGTGTTGTTTTTCCTCAGTGGGTCTGGACACGGAGAAGATCCTCCTCTCAGCCTGGTCCCACCCCGCCGTCGCCGAACTGACCGATCCCGACCCTCCGCCCACCGACACAGAGGTCCAATCAGATCCTCCCCCTGACGTGGTCGGTCCCATCCAGCTGGACGTGGAGCTGGTGAAGGTGGAGGTGGTGGTGATGACGGAGGACGAACAGGAGGAGGTGCAGGAGACTGCGATTGGTCCGACCGTGTCGCCAGAGGAGCGAGAGGCGTCCGATGAGAGCTCAGCAGTGGGCGGTGACGAATGCGCCGTCACGCCTGTGGTTCTGGACGTGGGCAGGTGAGACACCTTCTCGTCTGTGGTCCAGATATCAGCTGTGTGGGCTGGAGAATAACCACGCTGTTTCCTGTCAGGTTCAAGGGCTCGCCTGGAAACTTTGCCGACCAATCAGAAGACACAGGTGAGACACACACACACACACACACACACACACACACACACAGATGTCTTCTCTAACTCCCGCCTTTCTTTACAGTCGACCAATCGGATCAGTCCTGCTCCGAAGTCACAACCAATGCTCTGTACAGCATTTCCCATAATTCTCAGCGGGTGGCTCACAAGTGTCCTCAGTGTGCCAAATGTTTCATCTACCGTTCTCAGGTCAGTTTGTCTTCGTCTCACCGCCAACCGTCCGATCAGCTCGTCTGTCAGGACGCGAGTACATTTACTTGGTATTTCCAGTTTCTACTTCTTCTGCTGCGTACAGGTGATCCGTCACCTGCGGACCAATAAGTCCTGCGGGTCGGCCTTGATGACTCCTGGCGCCGTGGACCTGCAGAGTGACCCTGCCGTTCCCGAGGAAGAGCCCCGGCCCCCGGAGCCCCGCCTCCCGGAGCCGCGCCCCCCCAGGATCCACTCCTGTTTCCAGTGCAACGCCATCTTCAGAACCAAAGCGGAGCTGCTGTCGCACCAGCGCAGCCACCGGGCCCGACCCGTCTACCAGTGCGGCCAGTGTGACAAGGCGTTCCACCACCTGTCCAGTCTGACCAATCACAGGCAGACGCACCTGGACAAAGGCGGGTTCACCTGCAGCAGGTGCGATAAGGTGTTCGAGTCGGCCAAGCAGAGGGACGCCCACCGGCTGCAGCACCGGCTGCCGGACCTCACCTGCACGGTGTGCGACCAGACGTTCAGCTCTCAGACGCAGCTGCTGCGACACCTGCAGACCCACTCGGTGGAGGGAGCCGCGCCCTGCTACAACTGCCGCTTCTGTGACCAGACCTTCACAGGTAAGGGGCTCAGGTAGACCTCATCGGGAGGCGGGGACTAGCACAGAGTCCTGACTCAGTAGTAGGGCGGTTTGAAAGAACGTGATGAGCTAATCGTAAAGACGGCGATTAATATGTATTTTTGAAAGTCTTGGTGTGTAAAATAGTTGAATAGTGAAGCACAAGTAGTCCTAATTATTCCTGCAGACGGTTTCAGAGTCTGACCCAGCCTCACTCACAGTCTGTGGTTCTGGTCCAGGGGTGACGCAGCTCCGGATCCACCAGCGCACACACACCTTCCGCTCGTACCAGTGTGACCAGTGCAGCAAGACGTACGGCTCCCTGACCGGCCTCCACTCCCACCGGGCGAGCCACACCAGCGAGAGCCGCTTCCTGTGTCCGCAGTGCGGCAAGCGCTTCAAGACCCGCGACGGCCTGGAGGGCCACCTGAGGACGCACACCGGGGAGCGGCCCTACCGCTGCCCCTACTGCCCCAAAGACTTCACCGCGCTCGCCGGGCTCAACGTGCACGTGCGGCGCCACACGGGGGAGCGCCCGTACGTGTGCACGGTGTGCGGGAAGGGCTGGCCGTCCGGAGGCGACCTGCAGAAACACATGAGGACTCACACGGGCGAGCGGCCGTACGTCTGCCAGGACTGCGGGAAGGCCTTCTCCATCTCCTGTCACCTGACCGAACACCGCAGGATCCACACCGGTAAGAAACTCCGTCAGGTTCAGGTACTGCTATACTAGCAAAAGTACTTGGCTGTGCTCGGAGTAATTGTGTGTACTGTACAGCAAAAGAGAGCAAAATCCAGAGGCTACATCTCTGAAGAACGTTGTGCTCTTGTAAACAATTTGATCATAAACACATCGTGACGATTCAGCAAAAACAATTTCATGAAAAGTCATTTCCCAACATTTTAGATTTGTTTTCTTTCTTTTTACTGGACACACGTTTTATACTTCCTGTAAATATAATCCAGTTAATCTGGTCTCCGTACGTGGTTGTGGATCCTCGCGCTGACACCATTTAAATGTATGTGGTGCTCGTATTGCGTAGTTAAAACCCAGTGGTTCTCAAACCTTTTCACGTCAAGGCCCCCTGAACTGACACACGTCACACCAAGGACCCCCGTTTGACTGGATTTTGTCCCCATCTGATTAGAATCAGAAACTGTTTTACTGCCATGTAGGCAAACAAGGAATTTTCTTTGCTGGGGACCCCCTGGAACCACATCAGGGGCCCCGCCCCGCCGCTAATCGTTCAAAACATAGTTTTCATAGGGACATTTTAAAGAAGTTTGACGTGCTACAGCAAATGCTTAAATGTTAAAAGTTAGGACTCATTAACAACTTAGAGGCTGACGTGGAGCTTTTTTCCTGCACGAGGACTAAATAAATAAAAACAACCCACAGAAATGAAACGGCTGGAACTGGATTTAATATTCAACTAGTGGTGAAATATACTACTTTTAAATGAAATTCTAATGTTATACTAATAGTAGACTGTAGTAACTAAACATGATCCTCTTTATTTAAAACTCCTCCTCCAGGCAGTGGACAGATGTACGCTGAGCCGGTGGGCCAATATTTGCAGCTTCTAGCCGCCTCCTCTGTAGAGCAACACGCTCCCCTTGTTCTGCTGTACTCATTGTTTTAAATATTGTTTAACTTCAAGTTGAGAAATACACATTTCAAAATGTCAAAACCTTTCAAATGGTTTTAAGACTCATGCCTTGATAATCAAGCGAGTAGACTCAGTGTTACCAGTCAGGTGCCAAACTGTGAGCGAGCGAGAGCTTTAATCTTATTATGGGAAGTGTAATAAATACTTATATTTATTAAATACCTCTGTGACTCTCTGCAGTCATGGAGCTGACTGTTTGTTTGTTTGTTTGTTGTCCAGGAGAGAAGCCCTTCTCGTGTCCAGACTGCGGTAAATGTCTAAGGAGGAAGTTCGACCTGAAGAAACACATGTTGTCTCACAGCGACGTTCGTCCGTACGCCTGCGTTTACTGTCCCAAGAGCTACACCCGCAAAACTCACCTGAACCGACACCTGCTGACACACCGGACCGCTGACGGCGAGGAGGCGGAGGGGACGCTGAACCGAGAGTCCGTTTAATCAGAACAACTGTTGACTGATTAATTTCCAATCACTTTTTACATTGACTTCTTCCTGCAGAGAAATAACTCGGCACATAGTCGCCTGCGCTGTCGCAGTGTGGCGACGCAGCGGCTGCGTTAACGGACGGCAGAAACATCATTCTGGGTTTCAGCAAAAGTGATTTTTCTTTATTTGCAGCCCTGCTATGTTTCAAACTGTTTTCATTATTAGTTAAAGTCGTATATCAAACTCTCTGCGGAGGGTTTGTTGTATCTCACGTTCATTTTTCACTGTTTTCTACCATTTCACAGACTAAATCATGAAACTTTATCCCCACACATGGACGGTTTGGGTCTTAGTGTTTGTGTTTGCTTTTCATACAAACTAACTGTGCCGTGAACGATCCTTCAGGGAGCAGGTGACGTGATGACGAGCCGTGTCGCTAACGTGTCCTGCGCGTGGTCACCTGCTGCGCCGGCTGCAGCCTCGTAAAGACAAACAAACACTAAACACGTCAACAAACTACCTGCTATGTTCTCGTCTTGATGTGTGCTGATATAAAAGCTGTTGTGTTTTATATATTCTGATGTGGCCCTTTAATCAGACCCCGGGTCAGCCTGGTACGATGTCAACAAACTTTATTAGCTCCACAGGGAGAACAGGAAATGTGTCTATTCATCGCCTGCCTCGCCCTTCTCGATGACTTTCTTCATCCACCGGGTCATCCTGAACAGGTGAGTGTAGAAGCCGTACTTCCCGTCGCGGTCGCAGCCTTCCCCCCACGACACGATGCCCATCTGATACCAGCGGTTCTCTGCCGGGAACTGGACACGCAGAAAACACACTGAGAGTGATTAACAACATAAATAATAAACATTTCATTCTGTAACATCAGCAGAAAATTAAATCAGTGGTTTATCATCAAGCAGGACATTTTTTTTAATAATTAATCTCTAGATTGCAGTTTTAATGTTTTCGGATTTAGTTGGAAATTAAAATTGGCCTTCTCTCATTTTCAGTATTTGATATTTCATTGAGCAATTAGTCGTTTCTTAAAGCTGCAGGAGGTGATAATTATCACCATAAATGTCAAATCGTTATTTCTTTCAAGTTCAAAGGGTCACTTCACAAACCTGAGGCAGAACATTCAAAAACTATTCTGATTTTAAAAAAGTAACAAATATGATTAGTAAATTATTTTCAGTCCCTTTTCCTCAACAAAATAAATATTTTATTAGAAAAATACTAATATGTTCATGACTCAAATGAATTAAAGCAAATATTTATTGACAATATATCATCATTATTGTTTAATTGCCCAGTTTCACTAAATCAGATGCTCTGACACTCAAAGGGAAAATGAATCTCGTCTCTGTGGCTGTAATTAGCCAATCAGCTGGTCCAGCTGTGCGCACTCGCAGCTCAGGAACGTGTTCTGGAGGAGGTTTTATACTTTCTAAATCTCTCTGTCTCTCGTTAGTTTGTCCGGCGTTACTTACCTCCACTTTAATCGAGATAATAAATAATCAGCTGATGATGAAAATAAAAGTGTTTTATTAAAATAAATCTTTTTTCTAACTTTGATTTCATTGATTATCAGTTTCCACAGCGGCCTGGACGAACACTTCAGTCTGCTCTCCACTAGGTTATCCTGTTCTAAACCATGTGTGCTGATTCTAAATGACTTGAAGAAGACTTGAAGCACAGCTGCTGGTTATTCTTCTTTCTCTCCGGAAGAGGATTCTCACCTTCATCACAAACGGTCCACCGCTGTCTCCCTCACAGGCGTCTCCACGTTGAGTATCTTCTGGTCTATAACCTGCAACACAGACTGGCTTTAACATGACGTCTGTTTACAGCCGTGCTAGCAGCTCTGTCAGACCGTTCACATCTCAGTTTAGCGTCTTTTTATGCTTTCAATTGCGAATTAGCAGTGAACACAGCGTGCAGCTGAGGCTGATGGGAACGCCATTAGTCCTGCACTGATTTGGTCATTAACATGACGACCTGATGATGGCGCTAGATGGATTCCTACCCGCACAGAACATGTTGTCTGTGATCTTGACTGATGTGGAGCTGCGGCAGGTGTCCTGGTCCACGATTGGCAGGTGGATCTGCTGGAGGACTGTGGGTAAATTTCTTGATGAAGGGTTCCAGGTTTCCTTCAGGTTCCCCCACCCGGTCACTCGACCCTTAAAGCCTTGAGTCATCAGGCTGTCGCAGAAAATCTACGGTCACACGACTGAAGCCATTTATAAATAGAAAGTTTAACAGCTGACGGAGACGGTGTTGGTCTTACATCTGGGCGACCTTCTTGTCGGGCAGGCAGATGGGGTGGATCTCATCGGTGAATGTGATTGGCCGTCTCATGTGCAGCAGGGCGATGTCACGGTTCAGATTTTCCTTCCAGTTGTACTTCGGGTGGACGATGATTTCATCGATGGCCACGATCCTCTCTGTGCCGCGCTCAAACCTGGAACGTTCAAATAAATATTAACCATCAGTCAGTTTCTGATCTAAAAACCAGTTTGGTCCTTTACTACGTGCAGACAGGAAGTCCTACTTAGCCCTGTTGTGTTTTCCCAGGCGGACCAGTATGTCGTCGGTGGTGAAGTTCTTGTTCCAGGGCGGGTAGAGGATGCAGTGCGCCGCAGTGACGATCCACTGATCGCTGACCAGACTGGCTCCACACAGCAGCTCCTGAGGGCTGCGCTTATACAGCATCACCTGCCTGCAAACAAGAACACGTTAACTCCAAACACAGGGCAGGAGCTTGGAGCCACCGTGACGACAAAATCAGCTTGACAAGCGAAATGGTGTTTTGGCCACAACTCAAGTTGATAGAATTATCAATGTAAGACACAGATGTTTGCTGGGTTACAAGTGAAGATCATTTTTTCTTTTTACCCAAAGGTCAACTTCACCACGACGACATAGCTCATTAACAGAAGAGGAGATTGTGACCATATTTCACACTTGGTCGCACACTGAATAGGTGACAAGTGAATTTAATTTACCTATTAGACTTATTATTGATAGTGTGGTTACCATGGTGCTGAGGCCACTTCGGCGTCGTCCCCCCCAACGATGCGTTGTTCTCTGTATGAATCCAACAGCTCCACCTCCTTCTTGTCCTGTTTGGCTTTCAATTCAAACAGGGGGCGCTGCCCACACTCTGCGACGCAACCAGCCGGTAAACTCATTAATAAACCAGTTAACTAACCAGTCAATACACCTGTTTAACAGTCTGTAGTCACAAAGTCAGTCAGGCAGGCTGTAAACCAGTTAACCATGCTGTTAGTACACCTTTCAGTTAATTAGTCAAGCAGCCAGTTAACCAGTTAACTTATAACTCCAGTTAACCAAGCAAGTCAGTAAACCAGTTAACTTATCTCACCGGTTAACCAAGCAAGTCAGTAAACCAGTTAATTTATAACACCGGTTAACCAAGCAAGTCAGTAAACCAGTTAACTTATAACACCGGTTAACCAAGCAAGTCAGTAAACCAGTTAATTTATAACACCGGTTAACCAAGCAAGTCAGTAAACCAGTTAACTTATAACACCGGTTAACCAAGCAAGTCAGTAAACCAGTTAACTTATCTCACCGGTTAACCAAGCAAGTAACACCGGTTAACCAAGCAAGTCAGTAAACCAGTTATTTTATAACACCGGTTAACCAAGCAAGTCAGTAAACCAGTTATTTTATAACACCGGTTAACCAAGCAAGTCAGTAAACCAGTTAACTTATCTCACCGGTTAACCAAGCAAGTAACACTGGTTAACCAAGCAAGTCAGTAAACCAGTTAACTTATCTCACCGGTTAACCAAGCAAGTAACACTGGTTAACCAAGCAAGTCAGTAAACTAGTTGCAGTAAACCAGTTGATTTATCAGTCACTAAACTGGTCAACCAGCCAGTAACCATCTGTCCAGCAGTTAATAAGCTTTAAACTGGTCAGGGAAGAAGTCAGCCAGCCAGTCGACCTCAGTTTAACTGCGACCAGTTAGTAAACCAGTCAGTACACCTGTTTCCTGTGATTGTCAGGGACTCTGGTGTCATTCCACCCTTTCGCTCAACGAGTCACTCAATAAATCAGTCAGTCGCCTGTTAACCAGTCTGGTAAGGAGTCGGCCAGCCGGTAACCTAACCAGTCAGTAAACCAGTCAGTCTCCACTGTTTCTTCATCAGTCAGTCGGTTTACCTGCTTAATGACTAGTTAGTAATCAGTCAGCCTGCTGTGATGGGCTGACGAGGAGACTCACCGTTCTCTCCTTGTCCGAAGGACCGCAGGTTGAAGAAGGTTTTCCTGGCGGGCGCCAGGACGGAGCGCTCCATGCCTTGTGTCTCTGTGGTCGACACATCGCCAACCAGCGGGTCCTCTGGGAGACAGACAGGTAACAGGTAGGGGGACAGTTCACTAATCACCTGTGTAATATTCTGCAGTAGTACTGGTACTCGAAGTGGATACTTGTAGTATTTACCACACAGCTCAAGGTCGCAGTAGTCGACGGTCACGTTTCCAGAAACCCTCACGTAGCACCAGGGGCCCTCGGGGTCGTTGTCAGGGTTCCGGCACTTGTTGCCCTGCAGAGTGACCTCGGCGATGAACTCCTTGTTCTTGCTGAGGGCCTGCGCCTCCGCCGCCGACCACTGCAAACAGGTGTGGCCTCCCAGAGTGACGGCCAGGTCGCCAGTGTAGTCTATGCCATAACTGGGTAAACAGGTGCCGGTTTTGACTGGTTTAGTGGCCAGAGTGGCGGGCACGAAGGGCTGGCCTTGAAGAAAAAGACAGACATGACGCACTTTTATCAATCTTGTACGTCGTTTGAATTAAAACTACACATTTTCATTTACCTTTCTGCTCGAGCACAACTTTTATTTCTCACACTGTACGTATCATCTGGCCACAGTACTTGTACAGATAGTATTGTAGCAGTACTAGTAACACTTGCCGATACCACATTTTGGCTCTCATTTCTGGACTGCAGAGAACGTTATTACTAGTATGAGAGGTCCAAGTATTACGGTAGCTGTACTACCAGATACTTGCCACATCTGGGGACCTTGCAGGTCTCTTTCTTGACCGTCGGGTCTTTGGTGAAACACCAGGGTCCCTCCGGACGGTTGTCTGGGTTTCGACAGAAGTTCTCGTGCAGGATGCTGTTTGGCTGTGAAGCATTAAACTCCCTGCAGACAGACAGGTGAGAGCAGACAGACAGACAGGCAGGTGAGAGCAGACAGACAGACAGACAGGTGAGAGCAGACAGACAGACAGGCAGGTGAGAGCAGACAGACAGACAGACAGGCAGGTGAGAGCAGACAGACAGACAGACAGGCAGGTGAGAGCAGACAGACAGACAGACAGGCAGGTGAGAGCAGACAGACAGACAGGCAGGTGAGAGCAGATAGACAGACAGACAGGCAGGTGAGAGCAGACAGACAGACAGGCAGGTGAGAGCAGACAGACAGACAGGCAGGTGAGAGCAGACAGACAGACAGGCAGGTGAGAGCAGACAGACAGACAGGCAGGTGAGAGCAGACAGACAGACAGGCAGGTGAGAGCAGACAGACAGACAGGTGAGAGCAGATAGACAGACAGGCAGGTGAGAGCAGATAGACAGACAGGTGAGAGCAGACAGACAGACAGGCAGGTGAGAGCAGACAGACAGGCAGGTGAGAGCAGATAGACAGACAGGTGAGAGCAGACAGACAGACAGGCAGGTGAGAGCAGACAGAGATAGATAGGCAGGTGAGAGCAGACAGACAGGTGAACAGACAGCAGACAGACAGGAGAGCAGACAGACAGGTGAACAGACCGCAGACAGACAGGTGATGACTCAAAACATGGAACAGCCTGTCTTTCCTTGGTTAGTTCTTTAGTTAACTTATTCTTCAGGCCCTTCATATCCTTGTTAGGTAATTAGTTAGTTCGTTAGTTAATTTATTCTTCAGGCCCTTCATATCCTTGTTAGGTAATTAGTTAGTTCGTTAGTTAACTTATTCTTCAGGCCCTTCATATCCTTGTTAGGTAATTAGTTAGTTCGTTAGTTAATTTATTCTTCAGGCCCTTCATATCCTTGTTAGGTAATTAGTTAGTTCGTTAGTTAACTTATTCTTCAGGCCCTTCATATCCTTGTTAGGTAATTAGTTAGTTGACTGGTTTGAAAGCTCTTTAGATTCTTTGTCAATTAGTCGTTTTGTTTTTTTGTTCATTATATTAGTAATTAGTCAACTTATTCTCTAGTTTAGTAGGTCTTAATTCCTCTAGTTAGTTAACTTGTTTGTAGGTTTGTTGGATTGTTTGTGACTTTGTATTTGTCGTTCGTTTATTCACTGGCCCTTCATTCCTCAGTTGTTTAGTTATTTATTTGGATAGATGGATAAATAGAAAGATTGGTTGATTGGTTAGTTAGTTAGTCGGTCAGTTGGTTAGTTAGTCAGTTAGTTAGTCAGTCAGTTGGTCTGTTAGTCGGTTAGTCAGTTACTCTGTTGGTTAGTTAGCTAGTTGGTTAGTTAGTTAGTTAGTCTGTTAGTCAGTCAGTCAGTTAGTCTGTTGGTTAGTCAGTCAGTCAGTTAGTCAGTCAGTTAGTTAGTCTGTTAGTTAGTCAGTTAGTCAGTCAGTTAGTCAGTCAGTTAGTTAGTCTGTTAGTTAGTCAGTTAGTCAGTTAGTTGGTCAGTCTGTTGGTTAGTTAGTTAGTCAGTCAGTTAGTCTGTTGGTTAGTCAGTTACTCTGTTAGTCAGTTAGTCAGTCAGTTAGTCAGTCAGTTAGTTAGTCTGTTAGTTAGTCAGTTAGTCAGTTAGTTGGTCAGTCTGTTGGTTAGTTAGTTAGTCAGTCAGTTAGTCTGTTGGTTAGTCAGTTACTCTGTTGGTTAGTTAGTTAGTCAGTCAGCCAGTTACTCTGTTGGTTAGTTAGTCAGTCAGCCAGTTACTCTGTTGGTTAGTTAGTCAGTCAGCCAGTTACTCTGTTGGTTAGTTAGTTAGTCAGTCAGTTACTCTGTTGGTTAGTTAGCTAGTCGGTACGTCAGTTACTCTATTGGCCAGTCAGTCAGTCAGTCAGTCAGCTAGTTAGTCAGCCAGTTAATCTGTTGGTTAGTTAGCTAGTCGGTTAGTTAGTCAGTTACTCTGTTGGTTAGTTAGCTAGTTGGTTAGTTAGTTAGTCAGTCAGCCAGTTACTCTGTTGGTTAGTTAGTTAGTCAGTCAGTTACTCTGTTGGTTAGTTAGCTAGTCGGTACGTCAGTTACTCTATTGGCCAGTCAGTCAGTCAGTCAGTCAGTCAGTCAGTCAGCTAGTTAGTCAGCCAGTTAATCTGTTGGTTAGTTAGCTAGTCGGTTAGTTAGTCAGTTACTCTGTTGGTTAGTTAGCTAGTTGGTTAGTTAGTTAGTCAGTCAGTTAGTTTGTTGGTTAGTTAGTTAGTCAGTTAGTTAGTCTGTTGGTTAGGTAGTCACTCAGTCAGTTGGTCAGTTAATTAATCGGTTAATTAGTCAGTCTGTTACTTAGTTGGTTAGTTAGTCGGTCGGTCGGTCGGATATTTAGTTGGTACGTTAGTTAGTTACCTTATAATGGGATGTGGGAAGCTGCTCCTCCAGTGCTGACACTGTTTCCCTGATTGTGTGATGTTGATATTTCCTTCATATTTCACTCCATTACCAGAAATACACTGACCTGCAAACAAACGCTCACTTTGTCAGCACGTACTTTGTTAGATTAAAGTATAAACGTTTCGTGAATTTACCTTCTAAACACTGTCTGATGATGTTGATCTTCTCTTGTGATCTTTTGATTTGGTCTGCTTTACAGTCTGGAGGGCAGACAGGCAGGTAGTTAGATTTTCGTGTACTCAGGTTGTGTATGTGTGATCTGTTCTGGACTTTGTTCGTGTTTGCAGTGCTCATCCGAACAAACTCCACTTCACAAATTCAACTCCTTTTCAGTACATTTACCTCTATTAAACTGAAAATAACTTAAAAGCAGAAATCCTTTTATTTCTGTATCGAAGGTTTGGTGTCGCGTGCTACTTCCTGTCCCTGTGGAGACGTAGTATTACTTACCCAGGTATTTCTGCCAGAAGTTTTCCTGAAGAGGAGAGAGTTTCTGTTTAGATAGTAAACTGAGCAGTACTACGAACACTGTTACAACTTGTTCTCTGATTAGATTATTAGATAATAAAGTGAATGAAATCTGGAGTCGTACCGTTTTATCCGTCTGTTCAAACACCTCTCTGGCTTCTTCGTGGTTACAGATTTCCTCAACACACTCTCTCTCCAGGTTCCCTAGTTTGGAATAATACACATTATTATTAATAATAATAATAATAATAATAGTACACAGTAGTTCCCAACTTGGGACCCAGGGACCAAAGTAAAAGTAGCAATACTACAGTGTAGAAATTCATGGTCTTGAGTAAAAGTACAGAAGTATTAGTGTCAAAATATAAAGTACCAAAAGTAAAAGTAGTCATTGTAAAGAATGTCCCATTTCAGAATAATATTATGCTTATTGTAACATGCTGATGACTTTAATGTGGCAGGTGAGTAATTTTACTGCCTATAGATAATGCGGGGTAGTTTGAGCTGTAATAATACATCATTAAATATTAGTTGATTGAAAGTTTGTATTAATAATCTGAATCTGAAAAGTAACTAGTATTTAAAATGGCAATACTCAAGTAAAGTACATGTACCTCAAAACATTAGTAGGACTCCATTCCACCACTATAATGGTGACACAATAAATTAATTTGATTATATTTCCTCCTCAGACCTCTATACATGACTCAGAGATAAAACTTTTAGTCTTCAGTCGACTTGTTTGACTTTGAAAATTTCTTCATTTTCAAGGGTCAGTAGCTAAAAAAAAGATGAGACATATTAACACGTAAGTTACCTGGTTTCATCTCCTCAAACATCTGATTGGCCCGACGGTTCCTGACCAGCACCTGCGAGGCCAGCTGGCTGTTGAGGAAAACTACAGACACACAGACAATCAAAATCATTTCCACGTGGTTTAAACTCCTCTTTCAAAGAGGTTCCACTTAATTTTAAAACGTTATATCAGTGAGTATAAGCTGAATCATTTGTTTTTTGTTACATTTGTCATCTCAGCTGGGTGTTCCTAATAAAGTGGCCGCTGTGCGTTGTTTAAATAAAGTTGGATGAAACAGCTGAGGGTGACAGACGCGTCGGGAAGAAGTATTCAGATACTTCAGTAGAAGTAGCAATGCTGCGGTGTAAAAATACTACATAACAAAATGTGAAGAGTACACAAGTAACGGTGAAAAATACTAGAAGTATTGAAGTATTACTACCTTTATATAGTTTAATCTGTAACAATGCAGCAGATTTGTGCTCATCAAATGTTTTGTTTGTAAACTCTGAATCTGAAAAATAACTCACTGATAAAAATGAACTGCAGTAGAGGAGAAGTATAAAGTAGCAAAGTAAAGTACAATAGTAATAAATACACAGAGTTACTTTGGACCTCGCGTTCTGGCTCCTGTCAGGTTTAAGATTCAAATTTTCAGTTTAAGGAAAGAAACTTCAGTAAAAATACTACACATTTAGTAACAAATACATTTATATGTTTATACTTCCTAAACTTATTTGTACTCTTTTTGTGTTTCTCTGTGGCTGAAAAACACTTTAAACTGCATATATTTGTACACAAAGACAGATTTAATGTAGATTAGGATTATTACCGCTGTTTACCACCAATTTACTGCGAGTATTACAACTTTTGCTCGTACTTTCACAACAACTACCACCAAAAGTACTAAGAAGTAATGTGAGTTACCATGGTCCGCCAGGCAGCTGTGCAGTACGAACAGCAGTAGAACAGCAGCTGGTTTAGATGTTGGTTCCACCATGATCCAGACCTCCAAGCAGAACCTCAGAACCAAATCCAGCAGACTCTGTGTCCAGTCTGTCTCTCGGCCTCGGCCTGTGTCTCTCTCTCTCTCTCTCTGTGTGGGGGGGTATTGATCGAAGGGTCAAAGTATCGCACATGTTTAATGTGAATCCTCAACATGTTTACTTTGACTCACCGGGCTGCGTTCAGGACAACAAGAGCTCTCTGATGCAGGACGAGTGCACACGTGCGACTCATGTGGACGTATAACCTGGTGGTAATCCTAATAATTGATTATAAGATTGTACAAACTTGTGTACAAATATGTGCAACTTAAAGTATATCAAAGTAAAGTATACAGCCACAGAAAGAGTCAAAAGAACATTAGGATGCAGAAGAAGTATAAGTATAAAAGTATTTGTTCCACAGATGATGGTGGAGGTTCTTCTCTTTCTTTAGGTTGATCAAAAGTCTGTTCTGATTTTCTAATCTTGTTTACTTATTGATTCATCAAATAGTTCCTCATTTCAATGAAAATGTTGCCAATTTTGATAGTTTGACAAAGTAAACTTCTTTTACAGCTGATTTGTTAAATAAAACTGCTTTATTGTACAAAAACTATTATATGTCTGAAAGTAAGGTATCAGGAACAGTATATTTTATAATTAGACATAAAAAATGTGGAAAGATTTTGAAGAAATTAGAAAATACTTCTGTATATTAGTCACGCAGCTTTAAACAAAGTAATGATTTAGCTTTTTTTTTACTGCCATTGGTTGCTCAGTACATTAAATCTTTATTATTAATATTTTATTTAGTTGTTTAGATAATATCAAAAACGTACATTATAATTGATTCTCAGAAAAACACACGTAACAAATGCAGGCAGTTTGTTATAGTGAGTCTCCAAGAACAGGTGAAAGTGTCCTTGGTATTTTTCACCTGCAGGGTTTCTACCTGTTGGTGGCGCCAGAGGAAATGTCGACACGTCATTAAAGGAATCATAAATGTGAAGTTGGCTGACAGGAAATCACAGCTGTGTGACCGTCCGGACTTTTGTTCCCGAGCTGTTTAGAAAGACGTCACCTGTGTAAAGGAACGCCTGCTCAGGTCAGAGTTCAGGGTCACGTCACGGGGTCAGACCCCGTCACCTCCCCTCGGCTCGCACCTGTAAACCTCAGCAGCTCAGACACCAAATAAATCCGCAACACCACGGGAACAAAGTGAAGCGATCAAAAGAGAAATACAGAGTTTAAACAGAGAAGCTGAAGCTCTACTGACAGTTTCTGTCTGATTGACACAACTCACAGCAAATATTTACTCAGGTACTGTGAGGTGAAAGTCTGCCGGGCAAACACAGGGAAGAAGTACTCACAGTATAGTAATACAACAGGGTAGAAATACAAGTTAAAGTCCTGCATTTAAAATAGTATTGGCACCCAAATATCCTTAAAGTACCAAATGAAACAGTACTCATTATGCAGAATAGCCCATTTCATAATGTTTATTATATTATTATATTATAATTATTAATGTGTTCATCATTTTAATGTTGCATCTGCATGGTTTTACTTTAAATACTGCTGTGCAGTTTCACCTGTAATTATATTTATTTTATATTACTGATCTGAGTATGTCTGTTAACACTGGGAGTCACAAATTACACTGCACACTGTGTACATTTAACCGAGTACTGTACTTAATTACAAATTAGAGGAATTTGTACTTTACTTGAGTATATTTCAAGTAGAAATTTAAATTGAAGACTTCTACTTTTAGTGGGGTAATATTTAGCAAGGGTATGTGTACTCAAGTACAGAATTTGTGTACTTCATCCGCTGCTGTTTTTACAGCACCTTTTAAACCAAAGTTACAAATGCTTTTCTCCAAAGCCACTTAGAATTGTGTCAGAGGTCTCAAACCTCTGGAGCAGCTAGAGGTTAAGTGTCTTCCTTAGACAGACAATATGGTGAATATCACAGCGGGAATCGAACCTAGTTGAGGGACGTGTGTTGCCCACTGTACCATCACCACCCCTTTATCACCACCACTTTGTAGTAAAAACAAAAAAAAGTAAAGAAAACTCAGAACATAAAATATATTAAACAAGATAAAATAATTGTTCAACAAACACCAGGATTTATTGGGACATACAGTTGTGTGTCGTCTGTGTAGAATGAAAATCTGTATTGTATAAGAAATAAGAGGGGACCCAGAATTGACCCCTGGGCAGTGGCGGCTCCAGCCCAATCTCTCAGGGGGGCAATTAATAATAACTAATGATTCAGTTATTAGCTTAGCCTCTGGCATTTTACGGAGCATAAATTAGCCTAGTAGGCGATTTACAACCAGACTGAATTTGCCCCAAAAGAGGCGGGACTCCCCGGAACACGACTTGATTGATTGGACAGCGATATTCAGAGTCAAACTGTCTGTCGAAAACAGTCACAGCTAACTAACAGTGTGGTAGTGAGTGTGAGAAAAATCCCCTGCCTTTCCCGGTTTGGCGGGGCGTCGCCCTAATGAACAAGCCGCCCTGCCCCTGGGGGACCCCACAGAAGATCATATGGTCAAACCCAGTTCTAACCTGAGAGTCTGGATTGTAAGAAATTAGTCAGATAAAAGGTATTTAACCTTTAATCAGTTTAGTTCTGTGGGAGAAACAGTGGTTACAGGTGTACCTCTCCAGGGCAGCAGGTGGCGGTGACGCACTTTAACGTGCGCTGTCAGCTGCCGTTAAAGCTGAAAGCGAAGAAGAAGCGGCGCTAACAATGGCAGCTTCCACGGAGTTACGGATGGATCACCTCCCTTCAGACCCGCTGCTGCACATTTTATCCTTCCTGGGCTTCAGGGACCTGATCCAGTATGTATCTGACCCCGCAGCCCGGTCACACAGTAAACAATGTTTGTTTTCTTTAAGGAGCAGAGACGTAAACACGCTGCAGGCTAGCGGCTGCTGCTCGGCTAGCAGGCTGCTAACAACAACATCAACTACTTCAGGCAGCTTGCTAAGCTTAGCATCAGAGCTAGCTGCTGATTTAGCGACAAATTCACACAGAGAGGAAGAAAAAGAAGCTGTCAGCTGATTACAGCAAATAATTAATTACACTCAGACCCGAGCTGCAGCTGTCAGGTAGCACCGAGCTAACAGGCAGCTAGGATAAGATAACGATCTACAGTTAGCACCCGTTAGCTGCATGCTAACAGCTGCATGCTAACAGCTGCAAGCTAACAGCTGCTAGCAGTTTGTTTACGTTTGTTTCATGTCGTTAAAGAGTCTGCAGTAAAAGTACACAAGTATTCTGTTGCATGTCGTTAAAGAGTCTGCAGTAAAAGTACACAAGTATTCTGTTTCATGTCGTTAAAGAGTCGGCAGTAAAAGTACACAAGTATTCTGTTGCATGTAGTTAAAGAGTCTGCAGTAAAAGTACACAAGTATTCTGTTTCATGTCGTTAAAGAGTCTGCAGTAAAAGTACACAAGTATTCTGTTGCATGTAGTTAAAGAGTCTGCAGTAAAAGTACACAAGTATTCTGTTGCATGTAGTTAAAGAGTCTGCAGTAAAAGTACACAAGTATTCTGTTTCATGTCGTTAAAGAGTCTGCAGTAAAAGTACACAAGTATTCTGTTTCATGTCGTTAAAGAGTCGGCAGTAAAAGTACACAAGTATTCTGTTGCATGTCGTTAAAGAGTCTGCAGTAAAAGTACACAAGTATTCTGTTTCATGTCGTTAAAGAGTCTGCAGTAAAAGTACACAAGTATTCTGTTGCATGTCGTTAAAGAGTCTGCAGTAAAAGTACACAAGTATTCTGTTGCATGTAGTTAAAGAGTCTGCAGTAAAAGTACACAAGTATTCTGTTGCATGTCGTTAAAGAGTCTGCAGTAAAAGTACACAAGTATTCTGTTGCATGTCGTTAAAGAGTCTGCAGTAAAAGTACACAAGTATTCTGTTGCATGTCGTTAAAGAGTCTGCAGTAAAAGTACACAAGTATTCTGTTGCATGTCGTTAAAGAGTCTGCAGTAAAAGTACACAAGTATTCTGTTGCATGTCGTTAAAGAGTCTGCAGTAAAAGTACACAAGTATTCTGTTGCATGTAGTTAAAGAGTCTGCAGTAAAAGTACACAAGTATTCTGTTGCATGTCGTTAAAGAGTCTGCAGTAAAAGTACACAAGTATTCTGTTGCATGTAGTTAAAGAGTCTGCAGTAAAAGTACACAAGTATTCTGCCTGCCTGCCGTGTTCATCAGTACATTGATCAGTACGAGTACTTTCCTGTGTTTTGCTGTGTAGTTGCAGTTTTGTCAGCAGGAGGCTGAACGAGTTGTACAAACACAACCCGCTGTGGAAACCGCTCTGCTCCAAACACTGGCTGCTGACAGAGTGAGTACTTCACGAGTACTTCACGAGTACTTTTAACAGTCTTCCTGTAGGTGATTAGCGTAGCTTAGCATAAAGAGTGGAAGCGGGGGGAATCGGCTAGCCTGGCTCTCTCTGATGTGTGTGTGTGTGTGTGTGTGTGTGTGTGCGTGTGCGCGCAGTGCGGACCGGCTGCAGAGCGGCGTGTCCTGGTTCTGTCTGTTCAAACAGTACTACAGGGACCTGGGCCGCTACATCCAGTACTACCCGGTTCTGAAGAGGGCCTGGGAGCAGCTGAAGAGCTTCCTGCAGCAGAGGTGTCCTCGCATGATCGCATCGCTCAAAGGTGACGCCACCTGCTGGTGGAGACTGGTACCGCCAGAGTACTGAGCTGCAGTCCTACGTACATAAATATTCCTTTCACTCCAGGTGCTTCATGATCAGGACACAGACCCGGTGCTAAACCATTTTTAGGACAGTAAAACTTATCTGAGTGCCGTTTTTGTGAAGCCGGAGAGTCATGAAAAATTCAGTAAGAAGTCTAAATGTAGATGAAACAAACGAGCCTTTTATTATTAATGAATAGCGTCTTCACACTCATTTCACCGTCTCTGAAGGCAAATCAATTATTAATGCGCAAGTTTCTGCTTTTACCGACCAACAAATGTCAAATGTTTGAGATTTGCTTGCACTGATTATTAGAAATGTCTTTCCGTGAAGAAGCTGTTGCGTGGGCAGCAGGTTGTTCCTGGCTCGGCCACAGTGAAGCCTGAAATCTGTTCTTTAAAGTATAATGTTAGTATAATAATATATTTACAGCCTGACAGATAGTTTATCACATTCAGCTGTTTCACTAAGGCGAGGCGTCGCGTTGGGTTTATGTTCTGCTGGCTCCACAGCTCTGTTAGAAACTCTCTCACCCCGGTGGTTCGTTTTGTTTTCCTTTTATCGAGGGAAACATTTCGTCTACGGAGAGACTGCATGGCTCACTGGTGTGTTTGTTTTCCTCCTCAGAGGGCGCCACAGAGGTGGAGCTTAACGACATCGAGGCTCAGATCGGCTGCAGACTCCCAGACGACTACCGCTGCTCGTACCGGATCCACAACGGACAGAAACTGGTGATCCCGGGGTCCGTACCTGTCTGGGGGAGGCCCCTGACTCTGTGTCTGTGTGAGCGTGGCCCCTGACTCTGTGTCTGTCTGGGGGAGGCCCCTGACTCTGTGTCTGTGTGAGGGAGGCCCCTGACTCTGTGTCTGTGTGAGGGTGGCCCCTGACCCCGTGTCCCCTGTGTCCCCTCAGGCTGATGGGCAGCATGTCCCTGTCTGTGTGAGCGTGGCCCCTGACCCCGTGTCCCCTGTGTCCCCTCAGGCTGATGGGCAGCATGTCCCTGTCTAACCACTACCGCTCGGAGGTCCTGCTGGACGTGGAGACGGCGGCCGGAGGTTTCCAGCAGAGGAAGGGCATGAGGCGCTGCCTGCCGCTCACCTTCTGCTTCCACACCGGACTCAGCCAGTACATGGCGCTGCAGCCCGCCGAGGGCCGCAGGATGTTCGAGAGCTTCTACCCCTGCCCCGTCCGTAACCTTCCCGTCTCTAAATAAAAGTGCTTTACAGAGAGGGAGTTAAAGAGCAGAGTGATTTAGAAATGTCGTCTTGTTCAGCTGTGACGTTCTGAGTCAAAGTATTTTTGTAAAACGTGTGATCAGCAGGCAGTTGGACAGGCGGTCTAAAGCTCCTCGTGTCTCTCTGCCCTTCAGGATCAGACGGCTCAGGATCCTTCAGCCATCGACATGTTCATCACAGGTCCGTTCATCGTGTCCTCCGAGAGGCTGAAACTCACATTTCAACCAGAGATGAGAGTCACATCCATGCTAACTGTTACTGGGACTGTGCGCTCCTTTCAGGTTCCTGTTTCTCGGAGTGGTTCACCGCCTACGTCCACCACGTCGTCTCGGGAGACTATCCAATCATCAGAGACCAGATCTTCAGGTAACACACCTGCACACCAACAGTTTATTTCTTATTTATTTTTAATTAATTTATATTTATTTTTATTTTTACATTTTATTTATTTTATTTCTTTATTTTAAAAAATTTATTTATTTGTAATTTATTTAATTATTTTATTTTTACATTTTTATTTATTTTATTAATTTATTTTTAATTATGTATTTTTTTATTTTTTTATATTTAAAAATTTTATTAATTTATTTTTAATTTATTTTATTAATTTATTTTTTTTTACATTTTTATTAATTTATTTGTAATTTATTTATATTTTTACATTTTTATTAATTTATTTATATTTTTACATTTTTATTAATTTATTTGTAATTTATTTATTTGAGCTTCCTGTTTCGTCTTTTCGTTGCGCTTGTGTCTGCAGGTACGTGCACGATAAGGGCTGCGTGTCGACCACCGGCGACATCACCGTCTCCGTTTCCACCGCCTTCCTGCCAGAGCTTTCCTCCGTCCATCCGCCGCACTTCTTCTTCACCTACCGCATCAGGTACCCGCCTCGCCGTCCCTCGCCTCGCCTCTCCGGTCGCGTGTCGCTGCCGTGTTTTAACCAGCGTGTGTTTGCAGGATAGAGATGTCGAGCGGCGCGCCGCCCGAAGCCGCCTGTCAGCTCGACAGCCGCTACTGGAAAATCACCACCTCCGACGGCAACGTGGAGGAGGTTCAGGGGCCCGGCGTGGTCGGTACGCTGCTCGCATCACACGCAGCCAGCTGTTTATTTTTGATAACCCTGTTTATGTCGAATGTTTGAAATTCCTCACCTGTGAGACAAAGAGAGGCCGATCGTGACTGTCTGTGTGCGCAGGAGAGTTTCCCGTCATGACGCCGGGGAAAGTCCACGAGTACGCGAGCTGCACCACCTTCTCCACGCCGTCAGAGTACATGGAGGGCCACTACACCTTCCACCGGCTGGGTAACGTCCGCTCACTGCAGTAAACTCTGTCTCTGCGCTGCGGCTGGTCTCATGTTTGTTTCTCTCGTAGCCAACAAAGAGGAAGTTTTCCACGTGGCCATCCCTCGCTTCCACATGGTGTGCCCGCCCTTCAGAGAGCCGCCGGGCCGAACGGTAAGCGATTATCACACGACGTCCCGCCAACTGGTTAAGATTGTTCAGAGCTCTTTTAATAAACTGCTCCCGTGACACCGTCCAGATGAAGGTTCATCTCAGTTTATTATAATCTGGAGTTTTGATTTCCATGAGCTGAAATCATCAAAATGGGGGAAAAAGGCCTGAAATATTTGACTTAATGTGGAACGAGTGCAGAATTTATGAAAGATTCACTGTCTGGACTAAATTACGGGAGATGCGTCTGTAAAGAGCGCAAAATATTAAAAATGTAGTTTTAACATCTTATTTCACATGTTGTTGGTTTTTTTCAGTCATTCATTTTTTAAATTATTCCAGAACACACAAAATAAACGTTTGACAGCTGCTCCGTATTTTTAATATTTTTATTCCCGTCTGAATGAATAAATCAGAACTTTGCTCCCAAAAAGACGCCGAGCTTTAAACAGACTTTATATTTACTGCACTTAAGTACAAATTAGAGGTATTTGTACTTTACTTGAGTATCTTCTGTTCACGCCACTGTCCACTTCCTCTCGGAGGGAGATATTCACTTTGTACTTCACCACATCAGTACTTTTACTGCGGCAAATACTTCCTAAAAACCAGGTCGCTCCTCTTCAGCTCAGACTCGTAATTAAAAAATAAATTCTTACTCCTGCAGCAGAAGGCGTCGACCAGTTACACGCCTCGCCTCGACGACCACGACGATGACGGCGAGTTCTGCGACGGAGACGGCGACGACTTCGGCGACCTGAGAGGAATCAACATGGCCGCCTTGGAGGGAGCGTGGTGCCCGCGACACATCTGACCTCACGGCCGCCACCTGCTGCGGCGTCGCCCGGGGCAACCAGACGGACTGTCAGCCATTCAGGTCCGACGACACTAAAGCCTCCTCGTGGCCTGACTGACTGACGGACAGCAGGGGATTCTGGGACATGTAGTACCTCACAGGGGACAGGAGGCTGTGGACGAGGTGTTATTAAAAAGATGTGCTACTCTTTCTTGTTACGATGTGAAACAGTTTAAATAAGCTCGGACCGACGGGACGATGACCTCGTGGGTTTGGACACAAGATGGCCGCCGCCGGTTGCTGCAACTTCCTTTCTAGACTTTGTGGGCCAATCAGGAGCGAGCCGGAGCTTTTTATAAGACGCTCCTGGTGTGAATGTTGATCTGATGTTTAAGGTTTGGTGCGGTTCCTCCGTCAGAAGGTTCTTTAAAGGTTCTTTCCCACAGCAGGAACCCGGGGGGGGGGGGCGGGTTTCATCCTCCGAGCGCCCAACCGCCAGAATCCAGACAACACGACAGACGACTTGATGACAAAATGGCGTCAGAGTTGCCTTAAAGCCCTTGGCGGCAGTTTGTTGGTTTTAAGCCCCAGGTTTCGTCTTTCAGGCTACATGCAGCCTGGCCCGACTCGGGTTGTGTTGGCTGCGTGCAGCCTGAGAAGACACGCTCAGCGCTAAGATAAACGCTTTCACCTCCTGGATCGACGATGTTAGCCACGCTAGCGGCTAATCTGTAATGTCTCGACGAGGATTTAGATAAAATTCACACACACTGGACTGATGAGGTTAATGTGGCGCTCTACTACGATTTAGAGCTACTTGTACTTCACGGTACTTCATACTACTTCTCTACGTTTGACGGCCTCGGAGACTTTGCAGACCCGACTTTTCGTCTGGCGCCACCGTGAGGACAAAGTTTGACTTAACCGCTAATTAGCAAATGTCAGCACGCTAGAAACGCTAAACTACGATGGTGAACGTTAGCTTACGCTATCACTGCTGTACTCCTGGTTGATGCGATCGTGACGTCACAGCAGCTCGACCAATCATGACCGACGACTCGTTCCTGCGGTGGGAAAGGCTTTAAAGACGAGGTGTTCCTCATGTAATCCCTGATTAATCATGTTTTTTGTTTGCTGATGGCGGGCGGCGTGCGACCATGTAGTAGAAAGCTTGTTTTTAGTTTGTGCAGAAGAAGAAGAGGGGGCTGTCGGCGTTTTGTGCTCGGTGCTTCACATTGTTAATCGCATAAAGCAGATTTTCTTTCTTCTCTCTCTCCGTTGGACGGACGTGTCGTCGCTCTCTGATGTGATTGGTGGGTTTGTTTTGTATGTTTGGCTAAATAAACAACAAATGTTCATCGCTGCAGAGTCGACGTTTACTGTCGGTAATGTACTGCAGTTTTGAGGTACTTTATTGTACTTGATTTATTTGACAGCAGATTGAGGCTGCTGAGCTCCACCTTAACATAATATAGATTTATTATTCAGCATCATGAGTACTTTTGGTATTTAAAGTATATTTTGATGCTGATACTTTTACACACGACAGGAAACACTTTTTAGAGATAATCTAATCGTTTTTTTTCCCACTTATTTCCACTCAGTTATGTAGGAAATGGAGGACGGAGTCAAAAGCAAACATTTATACAGGAAAAAAGCTCAGTAAATAAACATCATCCTATTAAATGCACCAAAAATACATTAAAAAAATTGTTAATTAAATTGACATCTCTTTTAAGTTGCTTCTTTATTGATTCACATTTGTATTAATTACCTTATTTATTTTAATTACCTGTATAATCTTTTAAAATCTTTTTATTTATGCCTGTATTATTCTTCCTTTGCATTTTCTATCCTATTTATTTATATAAATGTTTTATTTAAAGAAGCAACTTAAAAGAGAAGAATTTATCTCATTGTATAATTTAATTCCTACATTTATTTTTTATGTATTTTTGGTGCATTTAATAGGATGTTTGTTTATTTACTGAGCACTTTATTATTTTTGTTTTCTTTGTCCTCCATATAGACGAAACATTGTATAAACTAGTTATTTCTAATTATTAAAACCATTTATACACTGATTTGTTTCAATAAGTCAATCACTAATAATATTTTCTTTTTTTATCAAGTATTGACTCTTCACGTAGATGCATGGAACCTTTTGAGGCACGTGTATCATCCGATGACCTAAACCCAACAGGAAGTCTGCCATTTTGATGTAAAAGTGCCATTTTGGATTCTTTTTTGGTCGTTTACAGCCTCCGTACTTTAACCAACTCCTCCTGCAGAATTAATCCAATATACTTCAAATATTCGCTGACCAATCTAAAGGCATTGATGATGAAAGCTCGTGCTATCTGTGTGTTTTCGTCAAAGGGCTTGACTGGCGTGGCACAAAAAATGTATGATCGGCCGCGTCGAACGCTTCAATTTAAATTGAATTACTGCTAATGTTTCTTGTGTTTATTGTTGTCGCCGTAACCTTTTTTATGCCGCTGTCTTGGCCAGGCCGCCCTTATGAAAGAGTTGAAATAAAAAATACATAAATAGATTGTTAGTTTAAGAAAAGTTCAGTTTGGGGTCCCGTAAGACAATAAAACCTCCTCAAGACAATAATGAGAACTCAGTAGAAAACCACTTTATTCAGACGTTTGGTCTCGTTTAGGTCGACTTTACAAACCTGGACCTGATCATGTGAAACTGAAAACGGTGCTTTCTAACTGTAAACAACAGGAGTCCTTCAGTCCTCCTCATCATCCTCCTCCTCCTCCTCTTCCACTATCACCCTCCCTCTCCTCCTCCTCTTCCTCCCTCTCGTCTCCTTCCTGTCCTCAATCTCCTCCTCCTCCTCGTTCTCCTCCTCCTCGGCCTCCCCTGCTCCTCCTCCTCCTCCCCCTCCTCCTCCCCCCTCCTCCCCTTGCTCCCGGGCGTTGCAGCGGCTGCAGTGCCTCCTGAAGCCTCCCAGGAAGTGGGACCTGAAGCAGCAGAAGGGGCAGGCGTAGCGTCCGGGCCGGTGAGCCGCTCGGACGTGCTGCTGCAGCCGGCTGGGCAGGAAGAAGGAGCGCTTGCATTCCTTGCAGCTGTACGGACGCTCGACGTCGTGGCTGCGCACCACGTGACTGATGGCAAAACCTGCAAGATCAAGGGCAGGGAGAGACTGACCCACAGGTACACCTTTAAAGTGATGAACACTTTGATCAATAAATATAATCCAACAATACTGAGATATATATATATGTATATATAGTACTCTGAATCAGGCCGTTCTGCAACTGAGTACTTGTACTCGTGGTATTTAAAGTATATCTTGATGCTGATACTTTTACTCACGATAGGAAACACTTTTTAATGATAATCTGACCCGTTTTTTCAGGGTTTATATTCAGTTTTTTGGAAGAAAAACTGTTTGGATTCACACGAAACGTCGTACAAACTACTTTTATCTGCCGTCCACACAGCAGCAGGGTTGGGAGGCCTGATATCAGAGGTGGAAATTTACTGCAGTACTGTATTTAGTACACATTGGATACTTTTCTCATGCCACTTTCTACTCAACTGTATCTCATGTACATCTTGTACTCGAAAATTAATCAACAACTATTTTGATCTAAGGCTGCACAATAAAACTCCAACAATAATTATCGCAATATAATTTTTTCCAATAATAATATAATAAATGTTCATTATATATTCAATCATTTTATTCACTTTAATCATCACAGATTTTTTATTAAGATGTTTATTTTGTTGAAAATAGATTTTCTCACAATTGTTTTGAATGTTCTGCCTCAGATTTGTGAAGTGCGTAAAGTTTAAACCCCAACTAACCATCAGGTTTCCTCAACTTTCACTCGGGAGCAAAAATCTGCCTGTAAACTAAATAAATAAATAATAGATTTGATATTTATCCTGATAATTATCGATATCGGAAGACATGAAACTTTTGATCGTGGTAACATTTTGTATCGTCCAGCCCTACTTTGATCGTTTAAATCATTTTTCATATAAAACTTTTAATTGTTGCAGCTTGATGAATGTGAAGATTTGATCTATGACCCAGCTGTCTGCGGTTCAGTTGCATTGTGGGTAATGTAGGCAGGAGAGTGTGTGAAATAATAAAGAAGCTATTTGGTTCTTGACATGACGCATGAACGGACGCCACTGAAAGGAATCCTGAAGAGCGGCCTGCATCAGAAAGACAAACAGCAGCGTCGCTACCTTTCAGTTTGGTCTTCCAGCCACAGATCAGACAGACGAAGCGGTTGGAGGTGAAACGGACCACTTTGGCCGTGGCCTCCATCTCCTCCCTCAGCAGCTCTCCGCTCAGCCCGGCCGCCGCCTCCTCCTCCTCAGCCGCCGCCCCGCCGCCCTGCGCCTGTTTGAGGACAGCCGTGTCCCGGCGGACGGCCTGCGAGGCGTACGCTTTGGGGATGTCGTGCTTCCTCACCACGTGGTTGATGCCCAGACCTTTCAGCTTGGTCTTCCAGCCGCAGATGAGGCAGCAGTAACCGGCGCCGTCGAACATCAGCACGCTTTCACCGCCTTCGCTGTCTGCTTTGGCCGACTCCGGTCTCTGAGAGGCGCCAACTTCACCACGCCCCTCCTCTTCCTCCTCCTCCTCAGCCTCACTGTTCCTCTTTCTTTTGAGAGCGTCCTTCCCTTCCTCCTTCTCCCCCTCCTCCCCTTCCTCTCCCGTCTTCTCCGCCCCCTCCTCCGCTGTCTCCTCCTCCCCTTCCTCCCCCGTCTTCTCCTCCTCCTCCTCCTCCCCTTCCTCTCCCGTCTTCTCCTCCCCCTCCTCCCCCCCTCCCCCCTCCCTCTCGTCCATGCAGTGTTTGGAGATGATGTGTTTGTACAGCTTGGTGAAGTCCCGGCAGGTGAAGAAGCAGTCGGAGCAGTGGAACAGCCGGGCGGTGCTCTGGTACAGCACGATGTTTCCCAGGCGACCCACCGCCACGTCGTCCAGGCAGGACGGGTGAGACGCCGCCGTGTGGGACAGCTGGTGGGCGTGGCTCTTGGAGAAATGGCCGCAGAAGGGGCACTGCAGGTGAGCCGCGACGCCGCCGCCCGCTTCACCGCGAGTTTGTTTGATGACAGACATGGCTGCTCCTACAGAGGCTGGACAGAGATCGATAAAGTTCATTCAAACACAGTCAGAAACTTTAACAGACAAACCAAGAGACTCAAATTATTATCAAGACAAAGAATTTAGAGATGAAGTCAACTACTGATCATTTTAATCATAGTTTTTCAAGCAAATCTGGCAGAAATTCAGTTTCCGGTTTCCTAAATGTGAATATTTTCTTGTTTTTTTTTTTCGGGTTTTAAAATAAGACGTTTCACTGACCAGAACAACAGTTGGCGGATTAATCGAGAGTGAAAACAGTTATGAAATAAACTTTCTTTCTGGTGTTGGGTGGTAACTTTGTGACCTCAGTACCGTACGTTCTCAAATAGTGGCCGGGGCCTTTAATTAGCTGAGCTGCAGGAGAAACCAGGCTTCTATTAGAGACTGCCTTTGATTCATGGTGCGTTCAATTTAACACGGGAAGTCGCAGTTTCCGAGTTGATAATTTGCATTGAAACGCCGCCATCAGTCGGATTCCTAACTCCGAAAGTCGGGAGAACCTCGCCAACCCGACCTCAAAATCCACGATGGCTGCTCTGAGCATCAACAGTAGTGGAAGCTGAGTCTCATTAAAAACAGCCCTGTCCAACTCGTAGCTGCGGCGTTTGTATGTGCAAAATACCGCCCGATGCGTCCTTATCAGCACTGGAACGCCGTCCCTCGGCTGTGACGTCATTCCCAGCTCCGACTTCCGAGGTGAATGGAACGCACCATTAGATCAGTACGAAGCTCCCGTTAGAGAATCATTTCCTAATGAGGCTTTTATTGTGAAACATTTGCAGGATGTGCGGGATTAAATGACGACGAAGCAGAAAGTATCAGAATGTTTGACTGATGAATATAAAGATAAATTTATTTGAAAGCATATTGTTCTGAAACGGTGTTGCAGAGGTGGCAGACAGTAATTTAACTTGTCCTCATGTAAATTTACACGTGTGAGCATCTTAATTTGAAGTGCGAGTCGTCACGTAAACATTCTAACATCTGATAACGACCATCAGGTTCATCATCCTCACCATCATCATCATCGTTCTCCTCCTCCTCATCATCAAGAACAACAAGTTCATTGTTAAATAGCTCCTCTTCGTCTTCCTCCGCCTCCTGGGCCGCCTGGCACCAGTTCTCCCAGCTCTGCTGTCGGAGCCGGGTCAGGGCCTCCCGCCCGGCGGCGCAGGGCTGCCCCTCCCTGAAGCAGAGGATGAGGTCGTCCTCGCTCCCGTCACTTTTCACGGACAGTCCGCAAGCTTTGAACGACTCTCTGATCATGTCCTTGTCCAGCTTGTCCCAGGCTGCGACCACCCAGTCCACCAGCAGGCGGCGTGCGGGGGCTTTCAGGTTCCCACCGGCGGCGTAGTCCTTATCGGCGTCCCCGGCCGCCCACCGATCGTAGGCGTCGTGCAGACTCTGCTTGAAGGGCTGGTTCCACATCACATCGGGGGCTTGGACGTATTTAGTGCCGCCTCCCGGGATCTCCGCTGTCGTGATGTTGTAGCCGCGTTTCAGTTCAGCTTTGGTGGCGGCTCCGATGTGACAGCGGTACGAGTCCCACACCAGGAGCCGCGGCGTGGCGTTGAACTTCCCCACCACGGACTGGAGCCAGTCTGCGGTGAGGGCGTCGTTCATCCAGCCGTTCACTGACGAGGAAATGACCGCGCCAGAGACGTGCTGCTGCATCGCCATCGCTTCCACAGCGCCCCCTCTGAACACGATGTACGGCTTCAGTTTGGTGCCGTCGGCCTTGGCGGCGAGGACAACGGTGAGATGGCTGTCCTCGGGTCCTGTGGCTTTCGGGGCCGCGCCGTTCACACCTTCTGCAGCCGGGGACGCCGTGTGAAACCAAACCGTGGCCTCGTCCATCGCAATGATGTCGCTCTCTAAGATCCCTTTCGAGCGGACCGCCTTTCCGATGTAGTCGACAAACGAAACCAGTTTCTCGGTGAGTAGATTCGGATCTTTCGGGGTCATGGTCGTGCGGCGCCGAAGTGAGAGGTCGTTGCGCTTTAGAAATCTTTGTAGCCAACCCGCGCTAGCCACAAACATCTTGCCTCCGTCGCTCACCGAGGGGTAGATCTCCAGCGCTTTATGTTTGATCATATTTCTTGACACTCTGTCATGTTTGTCCCGCATCGAGTAGATCCACTCTGAAAGCCTTTCCTCCAGCTCCACGCTAAGCTTCTTCCTCCCGCCTCCGGTTAGCCGCGCCCTCCCCTTGTCGGCCAATAGCAGCTCGTCCTTCTGTTTACGCCAATCCCTGATTCTTTTTGAGTCGATGTTGAAGTACTTTGCCGTTTTCTCGCTTGAATGTGTCTCCGCGTACTGCAAAACCCTCTCTTTGAATTTGAAATCAAATTTCCGTCTGGGCGCCATGCTCCTCAAGTTCGCCCCTCTACTGCGTGCTGGAAAATTCAGTGGCCCGTACGGACATTAACACGCACACACCCGCAGTGACTGAAAAAGGACAATAACACTTCAGATGAGTAATCCAGAACAACAATGTGTTGAAACACCATGATTATACTGAATTTATTAAAGGTTCAGTGTGTAAGCTTTAGTGGCATCTAGTGGTGCATTCACTGTCCCATTTCCTGAGTTGTGAACTTGTTTTTTTCTGACTCCAGTGTGTGTTCAGGTGCTCTTAAGTAGAATCAACACGGACGCTACTACAAAGATGTGTTGGATTAACATTATCAGAGCCTATAAACAACGTGCAGACATCAGGTAGCGACGAAACGCGCTCTGTAGAGCAGTGTGTCCGTTTGGGATACTGTATAAAAAAACATGCTGACCTCCATGTAAGAGGACCTGCGGTGTGTGCAGATAGGTAAGTAATAAAAACATTCATTATGTAAGGTCTTTACACACCACTGAAAACATAGTTATGGATCTTATACTGCAGTTCTGACAATAGATCCTCAGAAATATTACACACTGGACCTTTACGTTAAAGCCATGGAAATGTAGATTAAGCTCGGTTGGCATGCCGAATATGATTATGAGTTTATCCACACGACCATCATTTGAGAAAATACGGTATTTCTAAAATCCTGGCTAAATCCTGGTGATGAGCTTGATTCACTACTTTCTGATGCTGCACAGGCTAAAATATTAATTGAAAAACCATCAGTACTGATTGAATGAAGCCCTACATGAGATGTTATGATGGTCTCAAGAGCCAGTTACTATTTATGTTCAGCTGATAAACTCGAGCCACAGAAACAAACCGTTCACCAGACTTCGTTCACATTATCGCTGTTTTACCAAACTAAAATAAATAGTGGGGACAACATGACTCGTTCAAAAATGAGACTTGTCTCATCATAAATTCGCTGCTTCCCGTGTTATTCCGGGTTAGTCCCGGGATTGTAACTATAATGTAATAACGGTAAACATCCCGGTTTCTGCAGCAGGCTGTGGAACAATGGAATAACGGACCGCTGCAGGCTAATTTAACATCCAGGCTAACGCGCTTTAAAACAACACTTGCGCAGCCAACTGCCTCTACCGCCGAATGTGTTTATGTTTAAAAAAAGCTGCTCAACCGGAACTGACGGATAATCATTCGGGAAAATAATTTTAAATGTGTTAAACCTTCATGTTTACATGTTTAGACCGGACCCACCGATTAGCTTCAGCCCGCTGAGAGGCTAACGCTCACTTCCTTGTTTACCTAAAGCACAGCCAATCGGCTCGCTTCGGCAGTCTGGCGATTGACCAATCGCTGCAATCACGTCAACCGAGCTCTCTGTCCCCCACTAGCCACAAGTATCGCGAGATCTCAGCCCTGCTTTAAATTAACAGGTTTTTCTTTGTTGTGATCGCTTAATAGATGCTAGAACCTGCAAATAACCCGGATTTTAATAATAATATTACAAATAAATGAACAAATACAACTGATATACTCTAGTACTATACATGAACTTTGACCCACACTCACATTGATCAGTAATTAAGAGATTTTAAAGCAGCTGAGTGGTTTGTTTCCTGCTGTAGTAACCAAATGAAATCTATTTTCTGTTATGTAACAACATTAAGCAACCTCAAACACAGACAGAATATTATAATAGATGCTGCTGAGTAACTGGGTTATACTGTGTGTGGATCCAGGGCAGACTAAGGTGATTAATGAAGCTATTTTTATCTGGAGAGGCAAACACCTGCCGAGGAGCAGCAGCAGACTTCAGTCTTCCACCACCCATTTCGGTGCGACATCATGTTTCCGTCAGGTGTGTGTGATGCTTGGTTGGTTGGTTGCCAGGTGACAGTTGTCAGAGGTACACAGGTACTGCAACACGGTGATTTAACACGCAACAAAGTGCTTTTACTCAAGTTTACTTCTCGAGACTCCAAATAGGCTTCTTTCCTAACTTACTCGCATCACAGTGAAACTTTACAAGCTAAATGTAAACATTAAAATAAAAGCTTTTTGGTTTTTATTCTTTCATCTGCAAAATAGATATTTCCTCATTAAATATGTGCTGATTTTCATATCACACAAATTCATATTCCAGCACATTGATAACAGTCAGATCAATTATTTGGTTTTATTGTGATAATAAACCAAAAAGCATTTACAGAACGTTTTATCACTTTGGTTTTTTTCAAAATAAACCGCTGACCTGTTGTTATGGACACTTTTTTGCACACATTTACAGATAAAATGAGAACGATAGAATATATTTAATCAAACCTCTGTAAAGTCCCCGCTGGAAGAATCTGTGTAACATTATGATGTCTCTGCATTGAAGGGCGAGGAAAAGATTAGTTAACAGAAACACACTTATCATAAAGATTAGTGTTTGTCACGTGAACACATCACTTACAGATATCTGATCAATAAACACTGAGCTCTAGAAATACTAACGAAGATGAAATTTAATTGATCTGAGGTTAACAGACAAATAATAATGTTTATATATATTCTGGATCCTTTTTACATTTTATTAAAATATAGTAATAATAGTATTAAAATAACTTGAAATCTGTATTTTTGGACAGTGGAGTGTTTCTTTTTTCTTGCTGTTGCTGATAAAACTTTTACTGAAGGAAATGCAGGACTTTTACTTGCAGTGGAGTATTTTAGCAGAGTGGTACTTTAGTGCAGTAAAGGATGTGAGTACTTCTCCCACTGGAGAGGGGATGATGGGAGAGAGAAAGTTAGGGGTTGAGCGAGGATTGGTGAGAGCAGAGAGAGAGAGAGAGAGGAGGGAGGGGGCTTTTATTGTGGTAGGACGAGGCAGAGCGAGGAGTCTGCGCTTGAACTTGTGTTTTCAGTCTGTGTTAGCAGAGATTCACTTTCACACACATGTTGAGGGATGCCGGGGCGAGCGAGGGCGACATGTCATGCTTAAAAGGTGAGAGAGAGAGAGAGGTAGAGGATGCACGGAGAAGTTTAAAATGAAGACGTTAGAAGAAATGCTGCAGATAAGAGTGTGTGTGTGTGTGTGTGTGTGCTCAGATGTAGGTCATTTTGTCCGCTAGCTGTCAGGACTCTGTTAACACACATACACACACACTCTGTTATCTCCAGAACCTTTTGTGTGTGTGTGCGCGGGGCGAGCGAGCTTTGCTTTGAGCAGAAAGAGAGAGAGATTAATGGAGGGAAGTGTTGACTAGCTGCAGTATTTTCCAGATTACAGCTGCTGCAGTCCTTTTCTTTCTGCAGCTGTTGTTACTGCGACTCATAACGCTGCTTGTAGTACTACTACTGGTACTACTGTTGCTGCTGCAGCTGCATATCTTGTGTTGAACTTGAATCTTTGTGGCTCGTGGCAAAAGCTGAAGTTTTGGGTCAGGAGGCATGTGCATTCTTGAGTTTGACACGCGTGTGTGTGTGTGTGTCAGTAATCAGTGCTGGCCTGTTGAGGCAGGCTGAAACATCCCATTCAGCTTCCTAAACACAGCTGTTCCTGCACACACACACACACACACACACACACACACACACACACACACACACACTGTGCGTTCGCAGAGGATAAATCCTGCTGAGGTTGGCGATCGACTTGTCCTCTAGCGTCACCATGAGGTTCACATTTATTACGCCAAGCTACGTGCACAGTATGAAGTATGTAAACACAAAAGGTGTATACAGAAGTCACTGGACGCACCTCACACCAGGTGATATTTAACTGGTCTGTCATGCCCAGGAGAGTCTAGCAGCTGTAGAATAATGGTGCTCCGTTGTGCTCAAGCCTCTAAAGGAGCTTCAGCTTTTCTTAGTTCCTCTCATGTTTCATTCTCTTTTACAAAGTAATGATGATCAGATAAGTACAAGTACACAGTAACAGCAGTTTTTACTGGTCAGACCATCAGTCGGTGAGAAAACGTTGCCCTGAGGAGACGTTCACCCTCGAGTACGCGGTGAGAAGAGGCCGGCGTTACGAGAGGAGAGCGTGAGCACGACTCTCTGCACGCCAACGATTATATGAAGTATTGTTGGTTTTAACGCTTTTCTGAAAGGCTCAGAAGCGACTCTATGGAAGCCTGGAGGGGCCACAACTGTCAGTGTTTCTTATTTTGACAGGGTCCACGTACTCGCTTGTTCTGGAGCTTTCAAAATCATCTTTATTGCCAGATAGATTCATGAGACTGTCCTCACCAGGAAAACACCCATATGAAATATGGGTTGTTTGTTCAGCTCATTATTACAACCGCCAGCCGCCGTGCGATGTTGGGAAAGGAGGAAGTTGCGTGACCTAAGGATGCGGTTGGACCCGGAACCTCCATGCAGGAGAAGGGTTAGGGGCGCAGGTACCCTTGACTTCAACCTTCGCTGGATAACGATGACCTGGATGACTGAGAACCTTCACAGACAAATAAATGTTGATTTATTTTGACTTCTGTTATTTACTGACTTTAACCCAGAACACGGCTTTTTCTTAAAGCTGACCAAACTGCAATGTGAGCAGTGTTGGACAAGTTACTCAGAAACTGTAATAAGTGACTAGTTACTCCTTAAAAAAAGTATGATAATATTACTTATTACTGGGTGATAAAAGTAACTCGTTACGTTACTATATTACTTTCACCCCGTCCGCCAAAAACAAAGCAGTCTCTTAACTCATAACAGCAGCAAGGAGTTTTTACAAAACATATCAAGTCATCACATAGTCAAGACATAGTCATCGCTTGGTCAAGACCCGTTGGCATCAGTTTGTAAAGCACTGGGAGAAGTAGGGTAAATTTTAGCGTTCATTTCTCGTGTGAAACAAAAAGTTTTTGGTTTTTTTTGGCTACACAAGTAACGTTATTTAACTTACATAAGCTAACTGACGCAAGTAACGTTATTTAACTTAAGCTAACTGACGCAAGTAACGTTATTTAACTTAAGCTAACTGACGCAAGTAACGTTATTTAACTTACATAAGCTAACTGACGCAAGTAATGTTACTTAACTTAAATAAGTTAACTGACGCAAGTAACGTTATTTAACTAACATAAGCTAACTGACGCAAGTAACGTTATTTAACTAACATAAGCTAACTGACGCAAGTAACGTTATTTAACTTAAATAAGCTCACTGACGCAAGTAACGTTATTTAACTTAAATAAGCTAACTGACGCAAGTAACGTTATTTAACTAACATAAGCTAACTGACGCAAGTAACGTTATTTAACTAACATAAGCTAACTGACGCAAGTAACGTTATTTAACTAACATAAGCTAACTGACGCAAGTAACGTTATTTAACTAACATAAGCTAACTGACGCAAGTAACGTTATTTAACTTAAATGAGCTAACTGACGCAAGTAACGTTATTTAACTTAAATGAGCTCACTGACGCAAGTAACGTTATTTAACTTAAATGAGCTCACTGACGCAAGTAACGTTATTTAACTTAAATGAGCTCACTGACGCAAGTAACGTTATTTAACTTAATAAGCTAACTGACGCAAGTAACGTTATTTAACTTAATAAGCTAACTGACGCAAGTAACGTTATTTAACTACATAAGCTAACTGACGCAAGTAACGTTATTTAACTTAAATAAGCTAACTGACGCAAGTAACGTTATTTTCAACTAAAATCCTGATCTTTTCCTAAACCTAACCAAACCGCGACGCAACGTTAACGCCTACTTTTATTTTGAAAGTCTCACCAGAGCCCAACATGTCAAATAAAGGACACTAAAGGAGTACCCAAGGTGATACAAAAAATTGGAAATGTGATATGAATATATATCATATATTTAAAAATATGAAAGCAGATTCACAAAATGGCTGTTATGTACGTTAGTTTGCGCAGACGAAAGGTGGATCATGAGTTAGAGGTAGTTGAGTTTTAGGTGGAGAGCAGGATGTGTTGTTTTCTTAAAATCCCATAAATAAAATGTGGAATTTGTGAATCAGGTGATGAGAAACTGTGGCACAGAGGAATAAGATGAATCAGGCTTTGATGCAAACACACAGGACCTTTTCATTTTATTGTGAAACCGTAGACACAGGATCAAAGAGTGAGGAAACTCTGCTCAGCATTGACCTTCTGTTGTGTGATGCCGGGATCCAAATATAGCAGTTCGACACAGTAATACAGCAACAAGCAACATGTGTTGAGGTAAATACCTGCCTCTCACAGGCCATCTGCAGACCTGGATAATCCCTGTTAGAAGATTAGAGACGCAGAGAGGAAACTCAGCCGCACACAGTCAACGCCAGTGAAGGAATATAACGTTTACTGTTGACATGTTTTTGGACTTGTGGAAGCTGGGAGAGAGGTTTGGCTTTGCTTTTTGGTGGTGACAAGTCTGATGTTTTTATTGTGAAGGAATGAATAGAAGAAGTCACGTGGAGCTGCTGAAAGTTTTAATTGTGGCTGACTGAAGTTTTTTAAGCTGTTATGTGGATGTTGAAGCCAAATCTGAATCTTCACTGTGAAGTATTTTGAGCTTTTATTGTGAAAGGTCGACTGTCTGTGTACGTGTCTTGAACCCATTTTGAGGACAGCTGGAGCATGTTTGAGCTTTTGAGCACTGGCTGTTGTTTTTCAACCAGTAGCGGTCAACACAAGTTTGTGTTGTTACTCTGAAGGACTCTTTTTGTGAATTGTTTTATTGTGAAAAATTACATTTTGTGGATTTATTTTGAAGCTGTGTACAGGTGTTTATTCAATATTTGCTATGTTGAGTTAAAAAAACACAAATTTTACTGCGAAGTATTGAAACATTGAGGGTTTTTTTGAAGACCTGAAGCTTTTTCAAACATTTATTTGCTTGAACTCTGGGCTTTTACTTTGAAGGAATCACCAAACGTAGCTCCTTTTTCACATTAAGGATCAAAAATCGGGTTTAATAGGTTTTTATTTTTAAGGAAATAGCTTTTTTTTTTAAAAGGACTGATTGCTGTTTGGACATTTATTGTGAAGCTGAGTTGAACTTGAGGGGAAAACATACAAGGGTCTTTTATTATGAAGGGTTGGAAGGGCTCTAGGGCTTTTGTTGTGAAAAGATGGTTAATGAGGGAATAGTTTTTGTCGTGTTCATCGTCTCGGATCTGTCCTGAGGACGGACATCTAACAGCCAATCAGCCGTCAGGACAAGATGATTTCATATGTGGAGTGTCTGGGCGGTGAGGGGGCGGGGCCTGGCGGGGCGTCGCACTGCTGGAACGGGGGTCCCGATGACGAGCGGGACGAGCTTCTTCCACGCAAGATGGTCGTCCTGCAGCCCAAGACGGAGGGCAGCCTGCGTCGTCGCCTCCTCAGCGCCAAAATCCACCAACACCACGACGCCATCTTGGGGCTGAATGCAGGTGGTGCCGCTAGGCCTGGGATGCCCTCAGGTGACAGAAAGCCCCTCCCACCTCACCTTCAGTATCCAGGCAACAGCCCCTGGTACCGCCGCCAGCACCTCCCGCCACGACCCCACGTCCACCCTTCTCTTCCTCCGGAGGCTCACGGGAAACTTTTTCTCGCTCCTGAAGCTTACAGGAAGCCCAACACGCCACCCCCACCGCTCCATCCGCCACGCTCCACCTGCCCGGTCCTCACCCAGCGGCGCAGAACCACGTCAGCGCCCCCCACCCCTGAGCCCCGCCCTTGCTACACCCTGCCCGCCCCCTCGCCTCTCATCGGACCGCATCCCCTCAGGGAGCCCGAGGTCCCGCCGCAGTACCGCTACCGGCCCAGCAGGAGGCGCAAGACCAGCTTCTTCTGCTTCAGACCCCGCCAAGGGAGGAGCTCCGGGCTGGAAGCCACACAAACCACGCCCCTTCTACGTAGAGGTACTGCAAGGAATTCTGGGTAGTAGGTTATGTGTTTGTGTGGACTGTCTTGGTGTAGTACTACTACTAGTACTTCTAACACTACAAGTACTGGTCTTTCCCAGCTGGTGTAGCTCTGTTTGGTCCTGAATGGTCCCCGTGCTGCCAGCTGCCATTATTTGGCCCAGTTTAGTCCTGAACGATTCCAGTTAGCCTAACGTGTCTCTGTGTGGTCCCAAGTGTCCCCAGCTACCCAGGTTTTACTCTGTCTGGTCCTTAGTGGCTCCAGATTTGTTTTTGTTTAGTCCTGAATGTTCCCAGCTTCCATTATTTGGCTCAGTTTGGCCCTGAATAATTTCAGGGCCTAGTCAGGTTGACCGAACATGGTCCTGAATGGTCCTAATCTAGCCTAGTTTGGACTTTTCGTGGTCCTGAATGTTCCCAGCTACCCTAACGTGACTCTTTGTGGTCCAGGTTTGTTTCTGTTTAGTCCTGAAAGTTCGTAGCTACACTTTATTTGGCTCAGTTTGGGCCTAAATCATTTCAGGCTCTGTGTGGTTTTGAATTATCCTAGCTAGTCTGGTTGGTCCTACTTGGTCCTGAATGGTCCCAGCTTGAGCTATGTTTGGTTTTACCAATCCCATCTAGCCTATTTTGGCCTTTAATGGGTCCTGAATGTTCCCAGCTGCCATTATTTGGCTCAGTTTGGCCCTGAATTATTTCAGCTAGCCTGGTTAGCCATGTTTTGTTTTTGATTCGTCACATTTTCCTGGATCTGTGTGTGTGCGGTCCTGATTGGTCCCAGCAGAGCTTGTTATTTGTCACAGCAGGAGCACCTGAAGTGGAGCTAATGACATTAATGAGGTTTACATTTTAATTAAGTTATCGCTAACGTGACACACGTCTGCTGTGAAACGGGTCTGCTGGCGAGCTTCTTCATCAGAGCTGCTCTGTGCCTGCAGATCTGATAACTCTGTGTGTTACTGTCTCATCAATAATGAATCGCTGCTCTGATAACAGGCAGAACACAGTAAAGCTAACTAACACACACTGACTCTCTGTGTTCTCCACTAATTAGCTCCCCTGTGTAGAATAATCTCCTGTGTCTGTGGGAGGGGATTAGCTGCAGCTACATGCGCTAGGCTAACGGCTAATTCCTAAAATGGCAGATGAACAGGCTTTACAGCAACAGCTGCTACCTGCTAGCTGCTAGCTTCACCACTGGTGCCTGACTGTCTCCATGACGTCAATCTAAAACAGGAAGTTGGATTGATTTTTAGACCGTAAAGTGATCCGGTCTGAGACGTGAAGCCGCTTTCCTGAGGAGTTTATGGTTTCAAGTCTTCAACCCAGCATGATGTTCATTTAGTAAATTATGGTCCCATTTAGAGTATCTGTGATTGACAAGTCGTTACCATGGCGACCTGTCAATCGGGCTAGAGTGACTCGGCGCTGTGTAAGTTTAACCAGCGCCGTTGAAAAAGCTTATTAGGAGTCGGCTGTTCACTTTCTCAGCCCTGTTAAAATGACGTTAACACGAGTTACAGATGCACCTAGCTAAACAAGCTAGCTAGCTCCGCACACGGCCATTAGCTCCGCCGTCTCGTCCAAATATGGTCACGTCCGGTGCCGCTGGTAGCAAAAACCCAACATGGCGGCGCCGTATCGGTCAAATTCGAGCCTTCAAAGCGGCAGTCCACAAACCAGCGGGTGACGTCACCATGACTACGTCCACTTCTTTTATACAGTCTATGGTGATGGTCACACAGGAAGTCCCGCCCCCCGCTCATCTGATTGGACAGCAGAGAAACAGATCTTTTTTTATCAGCTCAGAGTTCAGAGTTGAACATGTTGTTAACTATAAATATACACAGTGTGGCGTAACGACAGCGCGGCCTACTTACTGTCTAATTAATTAAACTAATTAAAACGGCGGCGAGGTGGCGACGGACAGACGGGCTGTCAGGAATGAAGACACGATTAATTAGCTGCTCCAATGGCCCAGATAGTTGGCACACTTACAGACGGGAGCTGTCCCAGTTTGACTGGTGATGAAGGTGATGATGAAGGTGATCCTCAACCCCATCAACCACCATAACAGCTGCGCGTTACCATGGAGATTAATGGTGCAGTAACAGTTGCAGTACAGGTGTATTATTATCAGGTGCTACGTTTTCAAGCACCCCTGATATGTCCTCAAGGACCTCTGGTACCTTCTCATGCACCCCTGATATGTCCTCAAGGACCTATGATACATTATCAAGGACCTGTGGATCAACCTCAAAGGCTTAAATACCCTGCCCAAGCACCCACGGACCTCCTCAAGGACCATTTAAACCTCCCCCAGGACCTCTTGTACCTTCTCATGCACCCCTGATATGTCCTCAAGGACCTATGATACATTATCAAGGACCTGTGGATCAACCTCAAAGGCTTAAATACCCTGCCCAAGCACCCACGGACCTCCTCAAGGACCATTTAAACCTCCCCCAGGACCTCTTGTACCTTCTCATGCACCCCTGATATGTCCTCAAGGACCTCTTGTACCTTCTCACGCACCCTGATTTGTCTTCAAGGACCTCAGATACCTTTTCAAGGATCTGTGGAAAAGACTTAAAGACCCCCCAAGCACCCACAGACTTCCTCAAGAACCATTTCAGGACCTCTGATACAATTAAAGGATCCTTGAAGCCACTTCAGTGACTCCAGGACCCTCCTTAATTTCATTCCAGTCCCTAACGTTCGTCCCGGACTTGCAAACTAGCGGCGAGAGGTGGAAATGGCGTGTCCTCGTTCGGTTTGGTCCTCACAAAGTTAGAAATGCGAGAACAGAAGAACACAGACAGAGAACACAGAGAATAAAAGATGAACGCTCACACACTTTCTTCATCTCCCTTCATCTACAAAGCCTCATGATTCACGGTTCGTGCGTGTGTTTGTGGGTAACCTTCATCACCTGGCGACACACATGAAGGACACACTCGTGTGCTGGCTCGCTGCCAACATGGTGTGTGTGTGTGTGTGTGTGTGTGTGAGTGTGAAATAAAGAAAGGGAGAGAGCGAGCGAGTGGCGAGTACAGACGGGAGAGCGAGGGGAGGAGACGCTGCATTACTGCTGCTGCTCTGTCTGCTGCAGCCTCGGCGGTGTGTGTGTCCTGCTTGTGTGTGCGTGGCGTCGTCATGGTTCTGATCGGAGCGGCGATCAAGTCCGTCCTCAGATATCTCAACAAGACCCGAGGTGAGTGTGTGATTTAATATCTGCTGCTGGGCGAGAGAGCATCACCTGTGTTTATACAGAGAGAGAGAGAGAATGGTAGTTCTCTAAAGACGACCTCCATAGAACGCAGCTCTCTGATTGGCTGTCTGGTGTACGTTAATGGCTTAACCACCTTCCTAAATCAGAGCTCAAGGTGTGTTAGACTGCAAGTAACCATAGCAACAATGCAGAGACCTGACTCAAGGACCACTGGAACCTCCTCAAGGACTCCAGGATCCTCTTCAAGGGCCTTATAACCAACTCAGTGACCATCTGAGCATCTTTAAAGACCACTGGTACTTCTCAAGGCCCATTTGGTTCTTCTCCGGGACCTGTAAAACCATCTCCAGGACCATTTGAGTCTTCTCTAGGACTTGAAGCACCCTCTTCAGACCCTTGGTACATCCTCAAGGAACATTTGAGCCTCTTTAAAGACCTCAGGGACTTCTGAAGGACCATTTGGGTCTACTCAAGGACCCAAAACACCCTCTCCAGGACCCTTGGTACCTCCTCAAGGAACATGTGAGTGTCTTGAAAGACCTGTGGGACTTCTGAAGGGCCCTTGGGGTCTTCTCAAGCACCCTATCCAGGACCCTGAGGACCTCCTCAACTAACATATCAGGCTCCTCAAGGATGTACCTTATCAGCAACCCCTGGGACCTCTACAAGTACTATTTGAACTTCTCTCAAGGACTCAGCCTTGAAACCCCTTAAAAAGAACCCAAACAACCAGTTCTCCTTCTCAAGGACTGGTGGTACCTTCTTACAGACCCATCTAACCCCCTGAAGAACCTGTGGAACCTCCTCCAGGACCCTTGGAACCTCCTCCAGGACCATTTGAACCTCCCAGAGGACTCCTGGTACCTTCTCAGCATCAGCAGCAGCAAAATTATTGTTTAAAACGTCTTTAATTCCCACTAATTAAATTTCACTCTTCATTGACAGTTTATACATGTAAACGAAGACAGAGGTGTCCTCTCTCTTCCAGTGTTACACTCGCTGTGACAGACCTGATGGTTCTTGAATAAGTGAGCTCTGAGGCTGCGACAGCTGGTCAATAATCAATACGTGTGTTTATGACGTGTGATCAGTGTCTCTGAGGGGGTCTGAAGCCTTCAGGAGGCTGAAATGTGAATATCAGATTTAATTTTTCTGACTTCAGTTTAAAAATGATCTGATTCTGTTTATCAGGAGCAGATCTGGTAGATTAGAGCCGAGGAAGCGATCGATGGATCAGACCACATCAGCCAAAACAGATTAAATCCTCACAGCGAGACGGCTTTAAATTCATCAAAGCGACCCGTGTCTCTACTTTAACGTGTCAAATGGTGGTTTGTAGTACTGCGGTGGGTTTGACCAGTGGTGGACGAAGTATTCAGATCCTTTACTGAAGTAAAGGTATTAATACCATACTGTTAAATACTCTGCTGCAAGGAAAAGTACTGCATTGAAAATGTTGCAAAGGAAAAGTATGTAAGTATATAATCAGGAAAATGTATTAAAAATAAAAGTAGTTAGTGTCCACCGGTGTTTCTGAGCGGCCTCATGAGGAGTTGTGTTTTGTAGTTTAGTCACTGATTAAATCCTCCGAACGCCAAAGTTCTTCCTTTGTCTCTCTAGATTCATGATAAATGAGTTTGTGAAATATGTCGGCGCTAAACTGCAGTAAGCTGACACTCTGCTTCACATCTGTCCGCACATCTGTCCTCTAGATACCGCTGCTAATCAGTCTGCTGCTCCTTCACAATAAAAGCCCTGTGAGGTGACCTTGAGGAGTGCTGATCGTCTCCGTTTCTGTGTGAATCTGCTGAAACCAGATTAAATACGCTCACTGCGCTGTGCTCTCTGTCTCTGCAGCCGGGGACGGGGACAGCAAGTGGTCTGTGCGCTACACTACCCAGAAGCCCCAGCAGGGTCTGCTCTTCATCCCCGGGAAAAGACGGTCCGGCAGCGCAGATGATCTGCAAGGTCAGAGGTCAACGGGGAGGAACGGTGGTAATTAATCCAGCACGAACACACACGCTGTAGTTTACTCTGAGCAGCACCTCATGTGGATTCATTCATTCAAAAAACTACACTGAAGTGTTACCCAGGGCGTTAAGACGCGGCGCCAAGGGGTCTTGACCAAGCGTCTATATGTGAGGAGGTGGAGTCAGAGTGTGTTGGAGTATAAAGTCATTTTACACTACATTTCAGGGAATACTGCACTTTTTACTGCAGAATATAATTATGGCTTTATTATAAATATCATGATTTATTCAGAAAGTCATTAAAACGAGCTGCAGGATTAAAGCGATGAACACGTTAATGAATCACTAATCTAATCTATATTATTGTAAAGGGGCCGTTCTGCATGATGCTGCACAGTTTTCAGATCCGTTATTTGCGTCACATTTGACACCTTGGATCCTGATGAACAGACATTTAAAAGCTCTTATTCTGGTGCGTCTCTCACTGATTAATTCGACTATTGAACGCTGAGAGCTGCAGGGGTCTGCAGACTGCATCACAGCAGCTGCAGTGCCACATGTCAACCCCCCCCACCCTCCTCGCCTCCGCCGCCACAGTTCCCAGACAAAGGACTTCCTTTCATTTCAGCTGTCTTGATTAATGCTGAATAGACTGTGTTGATTAAGAGGAATCCGCATCAGAAGCTCACACCTTTTCAGCTGATTCATTGATTTACTGCAGTAAAACACCGTAATTATTTTCTTATCTTAAGGTAAAGAATCAAAAAGGTGTCTGGAATATTGACTGATTCTTTGCATTAGATGTCTTATTGATTATTGGCTATATGAGCCTGTTTAGTGTCTCATGGAGCTTCTGTTCTCTCATATGTGTGTGTGTAGTGTCTAACAGGCTGACTCAGCATGGTTACAGCCGACCCGGCAGCTCGCAGCCCCGCCCACCGAGTCCATCCTCCTCTGGGCTCGACCAATCAGAGGGCAGAACTACACGCCGGCGGTGGAAGGACAAAAGCAGGCGGATGGTTTGTGACACACAAACACATGATATTGATATGCATACAGTGTTGACTCATGAATATTAATGAGGCTTTTTCCCTCTTTCATACAGGAGACATGTATATGACGCAACATTACAAATTCAATAGCAAAATGTACTTTAAGTATTAAAATAACTAATTTTGGAGAATCGTTGCTGTCATAGTGGGTCTGTTAAATATAGTTTTTTACATAAACATATGTTTGTTGTAGTAGTTTTGTGAGAATATGTCGGTCTGTTCTGTCTCATGAAACAAGACAAAATAAGGCAGGTTGCAGTGTTAGATTTATGAAAAACAGGTTAAAACGTTCCTACTAGATTACATTTTTCATGTTTAACAAGAAAATAAAATGTATCTCCAAAATGTCAACAACAGCCCCGTTTCCAGCTTCGTTCCAACGCTCTTTTCATCAAATGCAATGTGTTTTAATGTGTTTTGTTTAGCTTGGTTGAGAAAGAGGAGTTTTCTCAACACACATACTTTAAAGTAAGTTAAATGTAGTGGAGTAGTAGGAGAAAATTGAAGTAACTCAAAACTGAAGTACTTACCTGTGGTGTAAAGGTGGGTTGGCTCTCTGACACGAATCAGAGTGAACTATTAAATTTATATACCAGCAGATGTCGTCATTGTTTTAACAAAGAGTCTAATTTCTCGTGCTCGCTCATTTACGCTTCTTTTATTCATTTCTTTTTTCCACCCCTGTTCCATCTCTACTGTTTTCCCTCCTCTCAGAGGGCCAGAGTCCTGGACTTTCTCACTCAGTCCTGCTTTTCAGTTTGTTTCAAGTTTTCAGTTTGGAGGAGAAAGGTAACCATGGATGGAACTGGACTCAAGTAGACTAGACTAGAATGAACTAGACTAAACTAGAGTGCTATCCTAGTCACACCCAACTAGGCTTCACTAGACTCTACTAGGATAAAACCAGACTTAACATGGTTTAAATCTGACCCCTCCATCTTAAACTAGACTCTACTGTGGTTAAACTTGACTTGACCAAGCTAAAATACAGTTAATCCCAAACTTCTGGGGTACAACTAGACTCTACTAGGACAAAACCAGACTCTACTGGGTTTAAATCTGACCACTCCATCTTAAACTAGACTCTACTGTGGTTAAACTTGACTTGACCAAGCTAAAATACAGTATAATACAGTTAATCCCAAACTTCTGGGGTACAACTAGACTCTACTAGGACAAAACCAGACTCCACTGGGTTTAAATCTGACCACTCCATCTTAAACTAGACTCTACTGTGGTTAAACTTGATTTGATCAAGCTAAAATACAGTTAATCCCAAACTTCTGGGGTACAACTAGACTCTACTAGGACAAAACCAGACTCTACTGGGTTTAAATCTGACCCCTCCATCTTAAACTAGACTCTACTGTGGTTAAACTTGACTTGACCAAGCTAAAATACAGTTAATCCCAAACTTCTGGGGTACAACTAGACTCTACTAGGACAAAACCAGACTCCACTGGGTTTAAATCTGACCACTCCATCTTAAACTAGATTCTGCTGGGGGTGAACTTGACTTCACCAAATGAAAACAGTGTAATGAAGTTAATTCCACACTACTGAGGTTCAGCTAGGTTATACTAGGATAAAACTCTACTGGGGTTAAACGCCACTCTACCAGGTAACAGAAGAGGCTTATGAGTTTAAACTTTCAAGTTTTCCTGTAGGGTGGTATGTAATACCTAAATGTTGTGTTGTTGTGCTGTGTCTTAGTGTGGTACAAAATGTTGTACCTAATGATGTTGTTGTGATTGGTTCTTATTGTTGCTTGGTTATCTTTTAGATCCTGTTATCTGATCCTGTCTTGATTAGGTCTCACTTGTAAAAAAGGTTTTAACCTGAATGTGACTTCCTAGTTAAATAATGGTCATATAAATAAAATTTAAGTGTTTAAACTTAAACTACAAGGCCCACCTACAATTAATCTACACAAGCGCCACTGGGGTTAACACTACCACGTAGAACCAAACTACACTAGGGTTAAATTAAACCTTGTTGCTGTTAATCTGGACTCCATTGGGTTAAACCAGACTCCACGAGATTAACCTACACATGGCGGTTTACCTGACTCTTTCAGGCAGGGCTACACTGGATTTATCTGGTGAGAAACTTAACTCTACAGAGTTTGACCTGGTAAACTCTGAGGATTACACTATGTACTGTTGGACCAACTGGTGTTAAAGTAGTCCATGTATTTAAACTTGACACCAGGTTTCATCAGGCAAGACCAATCTATCCTGTGTTCAAGGTTGTCCCATGTTAAACTATACTTGGTCTTAAATGTGACTCTGCTGTGGTTAAACCTTCCTCTACAAGCTTAAACTGCAGTTCACTGGAGTTAAACTTGACTCTTTCAGTTTGTGTGTGTGTACTCAGTCCTCAGCTTTCTCGGATGAAGACGAGAAGTTTATCTTGAACAACACGCGACCCCTGACCCCACTGGTCCTCAACCCGGTCCACCGCACCTCCTGTTGGGATGTCTTTGCCCCCACCTACGAGCCAGCGGTCGAGGATGAGATGGAGCCGCCCCCCCGGCTTCCAACACCGGAGGAGAGGATGAGGCAGCAGGCCGAGGCAGTCGCAGCTGACATAGTCCCTATCAATATAACAGGTAGGTAACTGGAGTCAGATCTATATGTGAGATTCAACTTATCCTTAAAGAGGCCTTTATTTGATACAGGACTCAACTCTCGCTTGACACTCGACTCAGACTTGAAAGTCTATGTCAAGTATCAACTTGACTCGGATTTGGATTTGAGACTCTACTTTGGGCTTTACTCTGACTTGAAACTCAACTTGGAAAATTAGGACTTAGAGATTTAACGCAGACTTTGGACTCACATGGGCCCTGAAACATGACTCAGACCTGAAACTCGACTCCAACACCGGACTGAAGTCAGATTTTGAGAGTTTGACTCTGGCTCGGTACTCCAGCGGACTTGGAACCTTTTAAACTGACATCTCTTGTTCCACTAATTCATTGACTAAGAGGGGTTTGTTGTGGGTGTTTTCATGCATACACGCACTTTAGGACAGAGTTTTGATCGTCAGGCCAGTTTTCGAAGAGTGGCTTCCAACGCGGACTCGTTATCCCGGCGCCCCCGGAACCTGAGCCGCTGCAAGAGAGTCACTGGGATGTCCGATGATGTCAACCGGAAGCTTGGTATAAGTTTCACCCTTTCATTATCCGTTCATCAATCACTTCTTGCAGCACTCAACCATTTGTTCACTTCTGTTTTGTGGCAAAGCATTTCTTCTCCTCTTCCTTTAACTCCTCTCTGTCTCTCCAGACTCGCCTTTGGTCTCTTTGGTTCTTCCTGTTCAGTTCTCCGCCGTGAGTCCACCTGCCCACCAACAGAACAGTACAGGGCAGGAGGTGAAAGAAAAGGAGAGGGGAGAAGTCAGACAGGAGGGGCAGTCATCAGTGAGGAGGATCCGAGCTCCAAGAGGGGAGGGGATGTCCAGCCTCATGGCCTCCCTTACCTCCTCTCCTCCTGTCAAACCCTGTCACGACCACGCCATCTCCTGCTGCTCATCCCCCTCGGAGATCCACAGCCTCCCCCGTCCGGGAACCAACTCGTCTCTGAACTCCGAGGCCAGCTGTAACAGCGCCTCCTACAGGACGCTCAGTGCCTCCTCATCGTGCTGCCAGGTCAGTTCAGGAGAAATTGTTGTCACAAGTAGCTCAGTGACTAAAACAAAAAGTAAGACTCTTTCCCTCTTTCCTGTTTTCTTCTCCTGTCACAGGATCTACAGGGTTTCCCCAGTGACCTCCAGCCCCTGCTGCCCTTTGACCCCACTGCCAGAGTCATCCCCCTGTCACCTTCCTCCTCATCCTCTTCCTTTCCTTCCTCCCCGGTCTCCTCCTCCCTCCCTCGCACCCCAAGCCGTGCTCTAAAATCAGAGTGGTCTTACCCCGGAGATAAGTCCCTGAATGAGGCTGCCCAACATCCCAGTTCCCGTTCCTCCTCCCAATACCTATCCTCTTCTTCCATCGCAGACTCAGAGTCTCAGTTTAGTTACCAGGATACCCAATGCTCCTACGATGAGGAGGCATGGAGCTACCGGCCCCTGTCCCGCAGCTCCAGCGTCCACAGCGGCATCACCCAGGAGATGAGGTGTCTTTCTGGGGAAGGTTGGAGCTGTGATCCCCTGCTCTCCTCCGCTCGCTCTTCGCCCTCTCACACTGACAGCACCTCTCTGTGTTCAGAGAAAATGACCTCCTCTCCCAGGCCAATGCAGGAGAAAAGGAAGTCCAGCACTTCCTCCTCCTACTCGTCTTCCATCACCCGCTGCATCTCCCTCCGCAAGTCCAAGCGGCCGCCTCCTCCGCCATTGCGCTCTGACTCCCTGAGGCGCCGTCCGGGTCGTAGCAAACCCTCCCGCTCCTCGTCCAGTCCCCGTGTGGAGCGGAGCCCCCTTCTGGAGCGTAAGCCCACCTCCTCTCCACAGGCCTTCGATGACCCCTGGGTGCCCCGGAGCAACCTCAGAAGACGCCAGAGTGGGCTTAACTGTGGGACAGTCACAACCTTTGAACCCTTAAGCCCGGACTGCCAGGCGGAAATCTCCTTTGACTATCCTCCGTCCGAGCACGTGCCGCCAAGTCCCAGCCCCTCCCACGCCGTCGCCCCTGGGTCTCCAGGCTCAGAGGAGGAGGGGCTAAGATTTACCCTAAACCCCCTTCCAGCTGGCTCTTCCGCGGCCGGGCTGCAGCGGCTCGCTTCGCCCTCTAGTGGCTACTCCAGCCAGTCTAACACCCCCACTCCAGGCACACCCGTGTCCTCACCCCTCACCCCCTCCTCTCCTCTCGCAGCAAGCCCTGAAGCCTTCCCTCTCCCCGCGACCTCCCCCTTCTCCTCTTTACGCTCCTCTTCTTTCCCTCTGTCCCCTGCTGTCTCCTGCCTGCCCGGGACGACGTCTCGGGGCGAAGGGAGGCCAAAGCCGCCGGTGCCGGAGAGGAAGTCATCACTCTTTTCCTCCCTCTCCTCCTCATTTTCCTCCACCTCCTCCCTCTCCTCCTGCACCTCCTCAGAATCCTCTGCCAGGCATCCACTTCTCCCTCCTCCTCCTCCTCTACCAGGATCTTCCTCTCCTCTGCCTCCTGTCTTCTACTCCCCCATTCACTCCTCCCCTCCTCCCGCTCCTCCCCTTCCTCAGTCCTGCCCCCCTGCTCCTTTAACCAAACTCTCTGCTGCTCCTTCTTCTTCACCTTCATCTCTTCCTCCTCCCCCTCCCCCGCCTCCTCCACCTCCTCCTCCTCTACCACCTTCATCCCTCCCCATTCCTCCTCCTCTCCCGCCTTCATCCCTCCCTCCTCCACCTCCTCTTCCTCCTTTCTGTCGGCCTCCTCCTCCCCCCTACTCCCACGCCGTCAGGCAGACCTCCTTTGTGTCCACCATAACATCGTCAACCAACTTCCCTCCTCCCCCAACCTCCCCACCACCTCCTCCAATTCCTCCCTCTTCAGAAATCCCAGAATTCCCATTCGCTGACCTCCCTCCTCCCCCCCACCACCACCTCTGCCTTCTCTCCCCGTATCCTCTGCCACCTCCTCCCCCCCCCCAGGCCATGGCAAGTCTCCAAATAGCTATTTAAACGTGGCCACGCCCCCCGGCCTCCTGGTCACTGCCCAAGCTTTGCAGGGCGTCAAGCTTCGTTCTGTCAAGAACCAGGAAGGCCCGCCCCCTGACACCATGCTAGCCAATGCTGCAGCTGCTAATGCTAACCATGCTAATACCATCTACGCTTTACCGAGCAAAGAAGCTTATGCATACAATGCTGCGTTGGCTAATGCTAATCTTGATTGCCCGACTAGCGCTGATGTTAAAGCAGTTAGGAATGGATTACAAAATGATCCAGGTAGCAATGAGGCTAACACAACTAGCACATTAATGGGTAATTCTAGCCTTTATAGCCCAGCCAACGCTGATGGGCCTGCATGCAAGTCAGATTATGATTACTATAACCTAACAAAAAGTGAGGTGACGGCACCCGACGCTAAGTCATCTTATGCTAATCTTCAGAGCCAGCGAGGCGTCGTTGCTGTTCCAGCTAACCAGAACAGCTCTGGGCCTAAGCTGACCGATGGCGAAACTCCTCTAGACATCCAGTACAATGAACGAGAGAAGGAAGATACTAAGATGTATGCTACACTGGCAAACAATGAAGACTCCAGTCCTGACAATCCCTGGGTCAAAAGGTCTTATGATTCTGACAAAAACCACATCAACACAGTCATCCAGCAACAGATCACCGACAGTAAGCTGACTGAGCCTGCAGAGCAACAGGATGTTAGGCACAATGATTCTGCATACTGGACGCTCTCCGGAACAAAACGAGAGCCTCGAAGAAAGAACGGAACAATACTGTCGGAGAGCAAAGATGAAGTAGAGACAAATGACGAGAGTAATTCGGAAATGTGGAATCACGGTGCAGCTGATGGAGAATCTGCAGCACACAGTAACAGCGTCTGTAAGACAGGCAGCCCGAGGAAGCTCGGCTCCCCAGAGAAGCCGATTCCCCCAAAGAAGCCTGATCTTTGCATTCTGGGTAGCTGGAAGAGCAGTGGACAAATCACGGCGCCTTCCCTTGGGCTCAACGGCCAATCAGAATTTCCATCTGATTCCTTCCGCACACCTTTGCACACAACTCTGAGCCACTGTGCGCCTTCACCAAAGCTCTTGACGCGAACCACAGCGGACAAAACGGCAATTCCTGACAAGTCAGTGAGCGAAACAACTTCACCTGCGCGCTCAGTGAATGCTGCTGCTTCTTCGCCTGTAAACATAACGCCCGCCGACGTCGCCCCGCTCTCGCCCGCCGACGTCGCCCCGCTCTCGCCCGCCGACGTCGCCCCGCTCTCGCCCGCCGACGTCGCTTCGCCCGCCAGCTCGCCTCACAGGCAGAAGCCACAGATTTTGCACAAGAAGCCAGATGTCTCACTGACGTCACCCAAAACAACCAAACCGCTCGTCGCATCTAAAAGTACAGGGGAGGCATCCATAGGGACCAGGGGCCCCTTGGGGAACTGTGGCCCCTCGGGAGTCATTGGTTTCGCAGAGACCCTGAGGATCAAAGGGGCTCCCAATATCGATGGAACCATGAGTACTTCGGAGAGCTGTGGTACCTCAGACACATGGGGGACTGTGGGGGCCTTTAGCACCTTAGAGAACTCGGGGGTCCGTGGTGGTACTTCCAGCCACACGGGGGGAGCCCAAACTGGAGCAACAGACCCCCGTTGTGCTGGAATCATCGGGACAAGACTTCATAAGGATGACGAGAAACTCTTTCAAATGAGGATGATGAGGTCACTGCTGGCTGAAGAGGAAGAGGAGAAAGAGAGGGTGGAAGAGAGAGGGAGGAAATCGGCCGCGATGATGATGATGATGATGTCGTCCACCTCAAGGAAAAGAGACAAAGCAAAGAAGAGGAGGAAGAGAAGGCCGGGCAGGCAACTGCTGATGATGTCATCGAAAAAGGAGCCATCTCCCTCTTCGTCGTCGTCGTCGTCGTCATCATCTTCATCCTCATCTGGAGATGAACGAGACGGGGGGAAGGAGAGGACGAGGCAAACGAGCGAGAGGGTGAGGGTGACGTGCGATCGAGACACCAGCGACTCCGAAAGCTCCTGCTCTCTGATTGGTCAGAGCAAGTTCTCCCTCAGCAGAGCGCTGTCCACGGAGAGCCTGGGGGGGGGGCTGTCACTTCCAGACCTCCTGATACAGGAGGAGGAGAGGAGCAGTGAGGGAGCAGAGAGGAGAAGAGAGGAGGTGAAGGAGGCTGGAGGACCCCCAGATGGTAAGTCCTGTTTACTGGAGTCCAGCTCGTGCTTGTTTATCTGTTAGTACATCATTTATCTGACTGAGATCTGACTGAAACAACAGGATCCTGGGACCAGCTGTTCCTCCTGAAGCCCATGATGTGGACCCACAATGACCTGATTTAATCCGCGTGCAGACTGAGTCGTACAGGGAAGGTTTTACATTAGTGATGAATCCCCCTCAGGCAGGAAATAGCCTAATTTTACGCATCATCCATAATAAAGATATAGCAAAATGGAAATTCTTTGCAAAAATAGCACATTTCACATATGGTGTTCTCGGGGAAGCCCGTGTCCTCCCCCCGGCTCCCGGTAGTTTGCACCCTCAGTACCAGATATCAGGGTCAGTTCTTCCATAACTAATCATATTTTGAATTGTTGCCCCCCAATCACTGGGTGTGCTGCTCTGCCGGCTGCTGGTTTATACTCGTTTTATTCTAATTCATAGTTTTCTGAAAGAGAAAAGTAATAAAGCGTTTGAATCGTCTCTCTGTTTCTCAGCTGACGTGTTCGTCGGTGTTTCGGCGGACCAGATGTGCGTCTCCAGTCGACCTCGAACCACAGAGGACCTGTTTGCTGTCATCCACAGGTAGGAGCACGCTGCACACGCCCCGCACGCTGCTGCCGTACCGACCGTCAGCCCGTTCTCATGAGTCTGCTTCATTCCTCTCTCTGCCTCTGTGGAGCAGTGCGGTGTGGGAAGGCACAGCGTGAATGCCCCGGCAGGCGGGGTTTGGCCTCAGGTAAAGACCGGTGTAGTGGATGGAGTCTAGTCCCTGACCCTGGGTAATCCAGTGACCTTCCCTCCTCCCTTGTTCCCCAAATAGGAAGCTTTTTTGTTTCTTGTACCTTAGATGGAAACTTCCTGTCTCCTTGTTCCCTAATTTGAAACCGTCTGTTTTCTTTTTCCACAAAGTTTCTTCTTTCTCTCTCCCAGCTCGTCACATGTGGACGCTCGGTGAAGACTTTTTGCTTTATAGCACCCTTTAGCGCAGGTAGGGCTCCGCGGTCAAGTCAGCAACAACAAATACGCAACCTCCGGTTAGACTTGTTGGATGGCAGAAAGTTTTTTGCAGCTATATTCACCCCAAAGTTTAGGAAGATCAGATCTGTGGTTTCTAAAGACGCGATGGAGATGCTGTTTGGATTATTTGGTTCACGTTACTGTAATTTACAAAAAACACTACCTTCAATAAAAACAGTGTCAGCTTTCTGTTTCACGGGGATCGAGTACCGGCCTCCTGGGTGAAATAAACACTACAGGCCCTCGCCCAGTACGTCACGAACCGACACCAAGGGGTCTTGACCATGCGTTGGTCAGTTCCGCCTTTCTTGTTCCCCGACGAGGCTGCTTCTTAAACCGGAAACCTCCTTAAATGTTGTTTGTTTGTTTGTTTGTTTGTTGTGTGGTCACCCAGTAGTCATGTTTTTGCTCGGCTTGGGTGCCTTGCTCGGGGGCAGCTTCGATGTGACGGGTGTTTTTCTGTTTGTCTCAGGTCAAAGAGGAAGATGCTAGGAAGAAGGGATTCAGAAGACGAGAGACGCCGTGTCTCGTCTTCGTCGTCCTCCTCGTCCTCCCCTTCAGTCTGCCCCACCGACCCCTCGCCCCGTCTGCAGCGGCCCGGAGCCTTCAGAAGTCAAAGATCAGCGAGAAGCGAAAGCTTTAAGGCTCTCCTGCTCAGGAAGGGAACTCGGGCTGATTCGTCTTCTCGAATCTCTGCTGTCGAGCGGCTCCGCGTCGCTGCGTCTCCTACGACCACCGCCGACCTCCGCAGTGTGCTGCCACCGCCACCAGTCCAGCCCGAAGTCAACCCCGCAGGCTTGTCCCAAACCTCGGATACATGTGATTTGAATGTCCACCGTGCTCTGGACGCACCAGCGTCTCTCTGCGGTCAGAACTTCTCCATGATGTTCGGATGGAGGCGACGGGATCTGATGCCTCATCACCCCCTCCTCACCTCCTCCTCCTCTCCCTTCTTCTTCCTCTCCTCATCCTCCTTGCGGCCTCGCTCGCTCACGCCTCCCTGCTCCTCCAGCCGACGCTTTGCCGCTCGCTGCCGCCTCTACGCCGCCCCCATGACCGCCATCTTTGAAGGAGAGAGCGAGGAGGAGGAAGACGACGGGGTTTTCAGCGAGTCTCCGGGAATCGAAGGAGGACCGAGTCAGAGGCTGGTCGAGACTTCCTGATGGACAGGCCAAGTGTAAAGACGCCGCTCGGGTTCAGCAGGAAGTAAACGGAATGTGACGACGGACACGTCGCACCTGAAGCGTTTAATCAAATGTACTGAAGCACACTCTCTGTTAAAGGACGCGTCTCTCGTAGCAACACTGACGTGAAGCCTGAAAAACACGTGTGATCTCCAAGAAAACAAACTTGTTGCGATGACACAATAATTTGCTGGTGATCAGAAAAGTAACACCTGCAGTTAATGTACTTTCAGTTAAACTGCCGTAATTATGTTCTTATGTTCTAATTTTGTCTTTTGCTTGATTTAGCGTTGTCTTTTTTCACTATTTGCAAGGACATAAATTAAATTTTTGTTTGACTTGTTATATTGTCTCACACTAGTAAGAGGCATCTAAATTCAAAACCATCCATGTTCTCTCTGACACAACACAACTTTTAACCGAAGAGGATGTGGAATTATTTTCATTTGATTAATTTGAGATATAAAAAGTGGTTTTCTTGAGATCACAGAGTAAATGTTACAGTAATTATAATAGTATGATGATAATAATAACAATAATAATATTTAAGCAGCCATATTACAAGTTTTACTACACGCCACATTGTAATGACTGACAGGGTGCAGCATCCAAATCCATACAATTCTATCATTGAAAATCAAGATCAAAGATTGTAATGACATTAAGCAATCAGCACTATTAAGTTTGTAAATCTCATTTAACAATAAATATCTAACAGGAGAAGCATAAAGCATTAAAGATGCTGAACCCTGATTTAATATTTTAACTTTGAATGGGAAGTAAATGCATTAGAAGTGAAATTAGCATCTCATTTGTTCTCACCAGCTACATAGACCGACACTATAATTAATAAGGGATGTACTTTGTCCTGTACTGTAAATAATCCTTTGTTTATGTTGCTGCTTCTCCATCTAAACGAGTCACCGAGCCTCAAGTCTTTTTTTTTTTAACAAGTTAGCAGGTAGTGAGACGACATAACGGTCAAAGACGATGTACATTTTTAAGGTTCAGACTTTAGGAACTTAATTATCTTTCCTGTGCGAATGTTATTAACCATAAAACTAATACAGTGTAACTGGAATTATGAGACGAGCGTGAGAAACTGAACGAAAAGCTCTTTTGTACGTCGGAGAAAAATGAGAAAGATGGAAATCAAGAAGCAGGAAAATGGAAACTTTTAAATGTAAATAGACAAAACTGTACACATAAGATTGAGAAATGGAAGCAATAAAGGAAAAACAATAATTTCTGAAACTGACGAGTTCATTTGATTCCTTGTCTTTCATTTTAAGAGTTGTGAACAACAGTATGCTGCAATGCAACTTTAAAAACTCAAAAATGACCACAGAGAAGAATCAGTGTCACAGTTTGAGCAAAAACTGCAATCATTTGTTTGATATTCAGATAATTATTGCAGACTCCACCATGCAGTATCCACCTGCTAGGGTTTTTAAAGAGCCTTCAGTCTTCATCAGCAGGTAATCAGGTAAACAGCTTGTGATTTCATCCAATACACTTTCAGGTAGAGGCGGACGAAGTACTCAGATCCTTTACTTTAGTTGAAGTACCAGTACAACACTATGATACTGCAAGTAACATGCCTCCATTCTGAATCCTAGAGAAGTATTATCTGTCTCTCATGTAGTTAAAGAAACGGTAGTAAAAGTACTTCAGATATCAGTCACAGGAGATATTTCTGTGTCTTTACATTCATATATTGGTAACTTGTGGTACTTTTATCCAAATCCTTGTTCTACCACTGCAGATAACCTGGAACTAACAAGCATATCTCTCTTCTAGGCAAATATTTCCCATCAGCTCTCAGGGGCAAAACACCTCCCTGAGATTCTCTACCAAAATCACAATCTGTCAGGGTGCACTTTGAATCTTTGACCACTGTGTGGCGCTGTGGATCAAGTCAGGAAGTTCAAAACTGTTCAGTCACTGTTCAGTCACTGTTCAGTTGGGTCCATCAGGTGTCCGTCTTGGCTGCGGTTTTTGTTTTGCATGTATGGATTTCATGAGATTCCGGTTTCAGAACGATTTCAGAAACATTTGAGGTTTAGGAGGTTCTTGTGGAGAAATGTTAATAACAAATGTTGTAATAAAGTTTTTTTGGCACAATAAGAAAACATGCAATGTAAATATAGAAAAAAACAGATCTGCATTGTCCCAAAAAATTATGTAAGCTATAAAAAAACTATTTACTGCATTATATTATTCTGAATTGTCACCTGCCACCTGAATTTTGTGTTCCCCTTTTTCACCATAAATTGGTGCAGAAAATGTCTCCAGAATGCAGGAAATTAAGTGCTTAATGCTCAAAATCTTCCCCAGAATTATATATCATCAATGAATATTTCTTTGCTGCTAGTCTTGACCCCAGTATTCTGCATTGTCACATCTCTAATCTCCGCCCACACAAAGTGACGCCCTTGCACCAGCAGCATCGGGCTCAAACTAAGCGTATCTAATGTCCTGAGAGTGATTCCAGAAATTATGATTTATTTTTAGGGGAGTCTAAAACCAGATGTTCTGCAACCTTTCCTCAGAATGGATGTTTCGAACGCAGCGAGCTACGCTCAACTCAAGTTTGCAAAAGATAGAAACACAAACTACTTTAACCTGCACTGCTTAAATGAGACCTGTTATTCTGCTTTTCTGGCCCTATATTGTAGTTCTGTGACTCCTGCATGGCAGCTTTGCATGATTCAGAGTTCAAGTTTTCTTATACCGGCTCTTCATGTAGGCCCTCATTTCAGCCTCTGTCTGAAACAAGCTGTTGATGCTCCTGTCTCTTTAAGCCCCCCCCTCTCAAAGCCCACTGTCTTCTGATTGGCCAAGACCTGAAGCATGTTACCAGGCTGTTGTTGTTGCTGGGCGGAACAGGCAGACTGAGCGTTAGTGTGGGAGCAAATGACCATATATGGAACCGCGGCTCCGTCTGTCTCCGTGTGTCGTAGAACAGGCCGTTTTCATCTCGGGACGCCAAAGGTACCCTACACAGACCAGAAGTACTAGGTAGCTACGTTCGTGTTAAAGGTGTTGACGGCCCCCCGAAGCCCCCTACCCTCACCACAACCATCAGAAATGTTAGTACCTAAAGTCACTGACTTTATGCATGTCGACTAGCAGGCAGGGTTAGCCTCCTTTGTGTTGCTGGGACGTAGCAAACGGTGGCGTTTCAAATGGACGCCTTTAGCGTAAAATACTCACGCTTTCTGAACGCATCAGTTATGGCGCATTGAGATGAGGACGGGTTGCGCAGAACGGAGAACATCCAGAACAGGAGGAAATCTGAGGTTTTGGCTCACAGGGATTTCTCATAAATACTTTAACCTCATTATTTGAAGCTTTGGCCGTGTTCAGCATGAACATCTGACTTTGTAACATTAAGTCATTCAATGTGGAAAAGCGTAACAGGTCTCCTTTAATGCCACGCTAAAACAACCTAATGCTGCTGAGGTGGACGTTTGTCTGGCTGCTCTGTAATCTCAGCGTGATGTTCATAAAGTCAGCCTAACACTTGGTTGTGCGGTCGGTTATAGTTGACTAACGTATGTAAACTTGCCACAGTAGCAACACAGCGGTTACATAACCTTCGAAACAAGCCACAACTTCACCTCGCGTGTCCCTCACGGTTCTGCTCCAGCACTTAAACAAACAGCACTACACCTCTGATGGCTGCACTGACAGATTGATTATCGCTCACATTAGCTTTTCCCAGTCGTTATGTCTTTAATGAACTCCCATAAAGTCCCTGACTCGCTGTCCAAACTGAGATATGCGAGAGAACAAATACACAGTTTGTTCCTCAAACTGCCAGGAGCTGTGTACGTGTTTTCGTGTGGAAGAGGTCAGATGAAGCTGCAGACAAATATCCGTATTGTCAGGATGCAGCAGCGTGTCTGTCCTGGAGGAATAACAGAATATCAAGTGGTTATTATTTTTAATGTTTTGATTTTTGCTCCAAACTCTTGACAAACAAGACACAAGGCGTTTTATTTATGAGGCGGGTCGAGGCCTGAAGCCAGGACTCGTGTGGCTGCCGGGCGACGGTGGTTGATTTGGTGTGTGGCTTCAGATAAACACAGCGATCTGGGCACCAAAACATAAACACACACAAAGAGAGTTGATCAGTAAGACGGATTTAGAGAGCTGGGATGTGTGCAGACCAAAGGCGCATGGTTCATTCAGGTGTGTGAGTGTAGGCGGGAGACAGACCGGAGACCTCACATGAACCACTTCACGTGCACTTTCAGAACGCGTGTGTTGACTACTGTGGACGTAAAGTAATCTCACTTAGACATGAATTTGCGGCAGCACGTCTGCTGGTCCTCTCTCATAAAGAAGATGGTAAAGAAAGAGAACCAATCATGTAGCATGGGGTAAGACGCCCCCCCCCCAAGCTCAACGTCTATTTGCTGATGCATAAAATAATATTTTATAGGTTTTTTTGGAGGCCATGCTGTAGGGTAACACAAAGTGAAATAAATAGCTACAGTTGAGAAATTAATTTGTATTTAATCAAATGTAATTTTTTAGGGAGAAGGCATTTTTCCATATGGGGTAAGATGAACATGTCGTTCAATCTGAAAATTTTGCAAACTGGTGGAAAACGTTTTGAGATTGAAATCGCCCCTGATGTCTTGGAGTGGACGGAAATGACTGAAGCATCTTTTTACCGTAAGTGTTGTAATATAGGGGAAATTGCCTGGACACAGTGATTCTCAACATAGAAACAATTTGCGACAGGGCCCCTTGCTCTCAGCGCCCTTGGTTAAGACGTCTCCAGAGTATCCAAGACTTCATGAACACATAGTTTACCACGACCCTGTCTGATCTTTATCCGTGAATGTGTGTTTAATCATTGTCATTTGGAAGTCTCAGAGGTTTCACTTGTCTGATTGTTGAGCCAAAAGCATCAGTCATTCTGTTTTTCTTTCTTTCCCAATATTTTAATCTGTCGTAGCTTTCTCTGATTCAGTTCGTCATCGTCTCTTCTGTGTTCGATAGTTCGTGGCAGCCTGCGGTGGTCAGCAGTGCAAAGAGTTCAGACGTGATTATAGGAACAAGGCCAGAAGACGCTGAGATACATCAGACAGAGAGAGATTTCACACCTGCGCACACCTGGTGTTGTTCTTGGCCTTTTACTTAATCACATGTGTGGTTTGTGTGTGTGCTTCTCTGTTGTTGTGGTAACGGTTTGCCGACATGATGTGTGGAATGATAACACTAAGTGAACCTGGCAGAACGGAACGCCTTCACTCACTGTTTGGTTTTTCTTACATCTCTCATCGCACTGAAACTGCAGCGCCGCTAACGATATTCTGTTTACAAACGAGAGTCTTCATGCCACTTTCTACTTCTGCTCCTCTACAATACTGCAATACTACTGGGAATACTGCACTTTTCACTTCACAGCTTTAGTTACCAGTTCCTTTA